AACTGACAGATTCAGAGGAAAGTGTGGAGGAGGCGTACCGTTTGGTATCATTAGGAACTCATTATGGCTGCACAGTGGGCAACCACGCTGAGAGAGGAGGAGACGAGGAGACAAGGAGAGGTGAGGAGCAGCAGGACGTAGTGGACTGTTAAGATTTTAATGACCGCTTATGGATGATCGGCACAAACAAACAGCCATTCTGCATCTGTGCGCTCAGTGTGTCCGGCTCTGCTGCTGACTAAACGAAAGACTTCTGTTTCTACTGGCTATAGATAAATAGAGGCAGGCATTGTGTTAGGGGATCGCGCCAAAGCTGGCCCCACTGTCACAAAGCGCTCTCTGTGGTTTCACAGAAACAGCCGTTGGCTTGGGGATGAGCCAGCGGACCCGATGTTCTGGGAACACAACAGCCTCGGCCTGTTTGGTAGAGCTGAGCAGATACACTGAGCCAAACCTGCCTTTTCATACCGAGGCTCTTTGGGCATCTGAGTGAAGCTCAGTGAGAGGAACAGGATTTAAAGTTGGCATCGGTGCATGAATCTCTGATTAACAGAGCATATTTAGGCCCCAGGACGGCAAAATGGGGATAATTAAAGGCCACAGAGCCTCAGCTCAGTCACAGTACTATCTCAGTGTTGTCGGCTATCAATCTGTCATAAAACGCTGATTCCAAAAAAGCTGCTGTGTGAATAAAACCAGAGTGCAATGATTCGCAAATCTTTGGTGACCAATATTCAATTAAATACAGCATACAGCATCAAATATACACTTATTCTGAATTCTAAGCCTGCAACATGCTCCAAAAAAGGTTGGAGCAGAGGCAACAAAAGACTGGGAAAGTTGCTGAATACTCAAAAAAACACCTGGTTGGAACTTCCCACAGGTGAACAGCTTAAAGTATTATGATTGGATATAAAGGGGCATCCTCAAACGGCTCATTTGTTCACAAGCAATGATTGTCACTTTGTGAAAATCTGTGTGGACAAACAGTTCAAGAACAACATTTCTCAGCGCACAATTCAGGGATTTGACCATCTGTAGTACAAAATATCATCAAAAGGTTCAGAGAAGGGGCGCTGAGTAGCTCATGTGGTAGAGCTGTGTCCTTTCCCTTTGATGCATATCATCTCTCCTCATTTCACTCTTTACGCTGTCCGACCAAATGAAGGCCAGAAAAGCCCCAAAAATGATCTAAAAAGACAAAAGATTCATAAAATCCAGAGAAATCACAGAAGATGAAAGAAGAAAAGAGAAACTGGTCGAGTTGTGCTGTGAGATCACTGGTGTTACTTTGAACAACCTCCAGCGTCTGTATAATAAAGAAGACAGGGTCCCCTCTGAAGCTCCGTCTATTGTCTCAGACTCTCAACAGAGACTTTCAGCTTCAGATGCTTCCATCAGGGCGGAGGTTTTGCCTCCCTAAATGCAGCACTAAGAGTTACAGATTGTCCTTTGTCCCGTCTGCTATCACTGATCTTAACCAGCGGTGACCACTAATGTCCATGATTTGACAGTGTGATACTGGACTCTGTGTGTTTTTATTGTCTGCACTGAACACTGAATGACCTTTGACCTTCGACCTCTCAGACTGCACTGCCTCAAAAATGAAAATGACTGTATAAATAAAATTACCACGTGGGCTCAGGAACATTTTGGAAAACTCTACCATGCAAAGTGAAAGCCATCAACATCCAGAAACAGCTCATCTGAGACGGACTGACACAAAGTGGAAAGGTGTGCTGTGGTTTGATCAGTCCGTCATGGACGTCCTGTCCTCCAGGACCATCCAGATTGTTACCAGCTCAAAGTCCAAAGCCAGTATCTGTGATGGGATGGAGGTGCATCATGGGTAAATTCACATCTGTGAAGGCTCCATCAATTCTGAAAGGTATAAACAGGTTTCGAGCAACATATGCTGCCATTTGGACGACGTCTTTTTCAGGGACATCACAGCTTATTCCAGTGAGACAATGAGACACATTGTGCACATGTTACAACAGCGTGGCTTCATAGTGACAGAGTTCAGGTACTATACTGACCTGCCACTGAAAATGTGCGGCAAATTATGAAGCACAAAATACAGCAACATGGACCCCTGACTGTTGAGACACTGAAGTCGTATGTCAAACAAGAATGGGAACATTTTCATGACTTCAACAATAAGTGTCCTCAGATTCTGTTTTTATTTTAGTTTTACAGTGTCCTAACTTTTTGGGGTTGTAAATGTCTCTAAATCAGGCTCACACTGTATTTACTTCAATCTCTATTCCAGAAACCATCCGTCCACCTCTCTCAGGTCCTCCATCACTCCAAGACAAGTATCTTACCACAACAAGCCCTCTGAGGCAACACAACAGGAGCCGAGCATCTGAACTACTATTGCAGCTGCTGCTCTGAGCTTCTTCTGGGAGCCACGACAGCGGCCCTGCAGGTGACCGTTGGAGCTCGCTCTCAGGATAAGAGGTCGGTGGTTACAGTGAATTCAAAAGAGGGCCAAACCACGGGGACACACCCAGAGCAGGCACGGGAACGTGACTCAACATCATGAATGTGCATTATGTTTAATCATAACCCACAACAAGCAGCAGATCTGAAGATCCTACAGCATGTTTGATGTCAGCTTGTATTCACATTAAGTTCAGGGAGGTGCGGTCTCTCAGCAGCTGTAGCTCAAACCACCACCTCACTACAAGCACAGCAACTCAGAGGAGTCATACACAAACAGGCCTGTCACGAAAACTGCTTCTGTTGGACGATTTTTTGTCCCAGAAATAACTGAAATAAACTATATTATTGTACTGCAGCACAATAATGTAAGTCCACCCTTTCAAAGAATATCCAGACATTGCAACTGGAGCAAAATATATGTTTAAAGGTCCAGTGTGTCAGATTTAGGGTGATATAGTGGCGTCTAGCGATGAGGATTGAAGATTACAACCAGCTGAAACTTCTCCTGGTTAGAATTCCTTCAGTGTTCATTGTTGAAGAGGTTTTTACCAGGAGCTGAATTATCATCAGAGGTCTCTTCCTCAACGGACCAGCTGATTAAAACCAGTAAAAACACTGAACAGAGTAAGGAGATGATTATTGATCCTAGGGGGAGGAAAGGGGAGCACGTGCCACTACACATCAGTGACAGAGATACAGAGGGTTAAAACCATGACACTTCTTGGCACCACGTCAGCCAGCATCTCACCTGGTCTCACAATAGATCATCTAGAAATCCCAGCAGTGTCTGTACTTCTTATAAAAGCTGAGGAAATTTGGCATGCCAACCAACATCCTCAGTAACTTTTACAGATGTATAGTGGAGAGTGTCCTCACCAGCTCATTCACAGTCTGGTATGGAAACTGTACTGCTCAGGACAGGAAGGCCCTCCTGCATGTGATAAACACAGCACAACTAATCTCAGGAGCAGCCTTTCCTTCAGTTCAGGACATTTACAACAGCAGGGTCATCAGGAGGGCCCACAGCATCATCAAGGATAGTACAAACCCCAACCACAGACTCACACTGCAGGAGTGTGAAATCCAGGACAACAAGACCGACCAACAGCTTCTACCCACAGGCCATCAGACTGCTGAATAACAGCAGTGTTTTTCCGACACTGATTGGCATGCCAGAGACAGGCCGCTAGCACAACACCTGCTGATGTGTGCTCACCTATTTTCTCTGATAACTTCAGATCCAGACGTTCAGGAGGTTTGTACCTGAGCTGAAGAGAGCAGTAAAAACACAAAAGAAAGCAGGTTTGGATTTAAAAAAGAAAGTGTTTCCAATGCACTTATTGTGGAAGGACCTCTCACTACAGAGGCTGATGCAAAAATCCAAAAAACGTTAATGTCTCCATCTAGAACTTGCTTCCTATGTACATATAAACATCTCATTCAAGGTTACGAAAACACGACTCATCTTTTATAGACTATACACTAAAGAACACATACATATGATATTCTACTATACTAGGGATGCATGATATGTATCAGGCCGATAAATTATCAAACTACAATGAGACATTTCTATTATTATGTATAATTCCGATAATTAAAGTTATAGCCGATAAATAGTGACGATAATATGAAGCCAGACTGCTTTCATTGAGTTGGTTTGCAAGCCGCCAATAAACACAGAGAAGAAGAAGAACTAGAGCACTCGGAGAGCGCAGAAATCCGCCAAGCAGCTTGGATTTCCCGCCATTTTATTATTCTATCTACTTCGCTTCAACCGATCACCACCAAAATTTTATCATCTGTTCCTTGTCCCATTATCAACCTTTCCTGAAAATTTCATCAAAATCCGTTCAAAACTTTTCGAGTTATTTTGCAGACAAACAGACCAACGCCGGCGAAAACATGACCTCCTTGGCGGAGGTAACAACAACTGCAGCACGCTGTCTAGAGGGCAAAACATCGAGGTGTGGACGTCTGCAAAAGGACTGCGCTAAGGGTCTGATCTCCGACCACCAGACTCCCCATCAGATCAGCAAACTTCCTGCAGCTGTGAAACAGGTTAGACACAGCGCTGAAGGACCGTCTCCTGAGTGTTAGCACGAGCTGATTGGCAGCAGCGGCTAACATCCAACACCGAGCTTTTAAAAGCCTCAACTCTGCTGTTTAACTCTTTAATAACTGCTCACATTGTGATGCTGCAGTTAGCCACTAATCTGTATCGTTACCTGGCAACCCGGCCTGGAGCAGGTCAACGCTGACAGTCTCTCCTGCTGCTCTGCCTTTCTTACCTTAAGGTGTGCAGAAACTATCCTCTAATCTTATAGTACCTTTATAGAAGTAGTACAACATTACTCAGCTTGAGACTTAATACAAAATTTGACCAACAAAACTAAACCAATATTGCCTCTTGCAACAAGACGCAACTCATAAGTCAATAACGTAATTATCCCGACAGGCCTAAATCAAAGGATTCTCTGACATCAGGGTTCAAACACACCCTGCAGACCAGCTCAGCTTCAGCACAGACAACCTTTGGATGCCGTTCCTACCTGAGCAGAGGATGCCTTTGTGTCGGGCGCAGGAGAAGTCGTCACACTCGCAGTAGCTGCCGTAAATCTTGCCGAACTCCGACTCGTAGCAGAGACACTGGTTGCAGCTGCACTCTCCTCGCCCGCTGCAGATCTGCTTGCCCTCGGCTTCCCGGCAGGCGCTGAGGTACATGCTGCTGGCCTCGCCCTCCTGGCACTCACAGCGGGCGCCCAGGTAGCCCGGCTCACAGTGACACGTCCCACAGTTATAAGTACCTGCAGAGGCAAGAGGTACTTTAATCTACTGACAGATTACAGCTTTCAGACATGACTTTCACATCCCTGTATATTCTTAATTAATTCTGCAGGATTATTCAGACACACTGATCAGCTTTTGTTTCCCAGTCACTCATTTAAGGCACTCTCTACATCTTAAATGTGCACAGAAATAACTGAATGTATTTTTCCCTAAAAATAGCAGAACTGATATAACTCAATACCTACTCTGTCTCAAATGTCTCAATATGTAGCTCAAGTTTAAAATTATGGTTAGAGAATAATTCAGGCTTTTACAGTCGTCATTATCTCGACAACAGGAACCACAAGTGAGAGTCTCTCCATAATCATGCCAAAGAAAGTCGTCAATTTACGGCTGAAGAGTGGGAGTTTTCCTGAGTTACTGAGGCCAAAGTACCAGGTCAGACATCACTGATTGAGGTGTTCCACTTCCTCCAAGGCTGAAACCTACACGAAGCTGAACAGCAGTCGTTTTCTGTCCTGTGTGATTAACAAGGTTTTACAGGAGATGATTTTTATGTCCTCTTGCTGTCAAACTGCTGCATTTCTTGTTGAAAGACGAGTCCTACAGTTTGCTTCACATTTTAGTCTTTAAAAGTTTGTCAAGCAAACTACAAACAAACTGCAGAATGATTTTGCTGCCAAAGGTTTTTCTATAATCAGATTTTTATTATTCAAAAGCAACACAGATAAATTCCTGGATTTTTTGGCGAGGGAAATAAAGACAGAATATTATGTTTCAGTGAAGCGTTAACTCCAAATTTCCTCTCCTGAATGCCTTCAAATCACTCTTTAACACCAAATAACAGTGAATCTAAGGCAGGCTTAATTAATTGATTCATCTTATGGTTTTAACATTTTGTGATGTAGATGAAGTACCGATGGAGCTGCAGATGCTGCTGTTGGTTTGTGCCCTCCGGCTGCAGCCACAGTCACACTGATAATCCACAGCCACCTCCAGACGTTCTTTGAACCCCACCGGCTTGATAGTGAAGCTCTGGTCGGTGCCGCGGGGAGGGCAGCTCCTCGCCTCCACACTCACATTGAACGATACCTTCAAAGAAGAAGTGGAGAGAAATGGGACTTCCTGTTTTTGGAATAAAAAGGGTTCAGGTCAAGTTCAGATGATCTGAGAGATGTAACATCGTACAGACTCTTAAAGGGATAGTTCGGACTTGCTGAAGTAGAGTTTTATGGGGTACTTCACCAAAGTCAGTGTGTTACTAAAGTAGGCAGGGCTTGGAACGCCACGAGTTTGGAGAAGCAGCAGGAGTACCGTCACAGAGGCTAAGTAGTGTGCTGCTGGTAAAATGTATTATAGTCACCTTTAGTCCACAGCAGCACACTGCTTAGCCTCTGTGTCGGTACTTCAGCTGACATCTACTATCTGTCTATGAATAAGAAGCTCATACGTCCTCCCTTCTTCCCCCGAGTCTCCATATTCTGACTGACCTGATGTGACCCTGCATCTTTTCATCTGAGCAAACACAGCCAGCATGCAAACTCTTGGCAGCTGCCAGCTCGCCTGCGGACATGAACTACACACGACCCTGTGTTATGTTTACAGCAGTGGGCTGATTTCACCCAAAGACAAGTTTACAGTGTGCAGCTGATGTGGCTTTGTCTGCACAGAAAGTGGGACATGACACACGACCTCCACCCATCTGATCGCTCCGAGGAAGGAAGCCCTGACAAGAAGAGAAACCCGACCCTGGCTGCTTCTTCTCTTCCAACATGAGCATGTACTTCTGGTATTTCCACATATTTCCTCCATCACAGCAGCCACGCTTGAGTTCTTTCTTTCATGTTGCCTCGACTTAAACTGATGAAATTACGCTGCTATGAATTTGATCGCTGACTGCTGCAGCTTTTCACTCAAACGCCACAAACAAGACTGGCGAAGTGCTAAACAGAAAAGCACACATGTTCTGCTGGTTTGGCTCTTCGCTCCAGCTCACTGGGTCTGAAATAAAACAATGATTGTGAGGTTTACGGGCCAGAACTGAACTTTACAGAGCTGCGGAGAGAGAGTGAAATAAGGCTGAATATTCTCATCTATTCTGGCTCCAGAGGGGAGGGAATAGTCTCTGCTTTGAAGTTCTGACTAGAAGCACTTGACCCTCAGAAGATAAACTGAAGTCCTGCACTGAAACCAAATATTCCACCCTAACAGCACCTGCTGTTCTTGGCATCAACATCTGAGTGTTTGGATCTGGAGCTCATGAGTAAAGGGCATTGCAAGAGCAAATATGTCACAACCTGGGCAACGCCTGTTCATGATGTGAGAGATAACAACAGCCTCCTCTGCACAGATCCTGGGTGTAGCCTTTTTATCAACTAATTAATTAAGGAATTATCAAACTGTAAATACATCACATGAGCTGCAGCGATGAAAAGACCTCTGCAAGGTGTAAAGAATGGAAGCCAGGCAGAAACTCTACTGTTACAGGCTGTTTAAAACCGACTGTTACATTCAGTCAATCCGGCAGCAGAACTCATCAACAACGTCCCCAAATCTGAACCTCAATACCCATCATTCCTTTCGCCAAACTAGAATTTGTTGTATGCCTTTTGCCAATCAGTTAAGTTGCACTTACACTTTTATTCCAACTAACTGGAAACACAAACTTTACTCCTGCTCCTACTCCTAGACAATTTCAACAACAGGATCAATAAGGGTAAGGCATGAAATTAGTTACACACAGGGTATGATAATCTAGCTATGTTTTTGACTGCATCCCTCTAGTGTAGGCCTATTGCTCAATGTAACAGGTTGTAACAACGTTACCTGACAATTGAAATCATGCCCATACACGTTTGTCAGCTTTGTTTTTTTACTAATACCATCAACTTGATCTTTCAAACTACTGATGTGATCCTACTAACTGTTATGTGTCCTCTCTGTTACTCATCTCGTCCTGTACAAGTCAAACATTTGTGTTTGTGAGACTATATTATCATCTGTGCTATATGTATTGTCATTTGCCTGTAATTGATTAAAAAACAACAACAACAAAAAACATGGATGCTTCACACACATCTTCTGGATGACTTTGGCCTTTGATCTGTGACCACTGTATTCTAATCAGCTCATCGTTGAGTCCAAGTGAACGTTGACAGACTAAAACAAACTGCCTCTACAGTCACAGCTCTCACTGCTGCAGAGGCATAAAAACACATTTCACTCATTATTCTAACTAGATATTTCATCATGTTAAAACACAAACCAGTATCAATAAGCATGCATGAATCTGTAGCGTCAGTGGGGCGGGGGACTGAAGGGCAGCAGCACACAACACAGGAAGTGCCTACGTCACATGTCGCCTGGATTTCCCCTCCAAATCAGCGCGGGAAGCTTAACAAGTTAATTAAAGACTCAATTAGATTTACTGTAAATGTGAGTCGCGAGGAGGCCGATCCGCCCAATCATGTGGCGGGTTGGGACAACTACGAGGCTGTGGAGGAGCACAGGGGGCGAAAAGCTGGGAGGAAGTAGTAACAGAGGACATTTGGGGGCACGGCGGAGGACGGAGTGAGGAAATGATACTGTGACACTAAACTCATTCAGAAATTACCTCAACACACAGCTGGATGAGCCACAGCGTTCAAAGAGAGACATGGAGTCAGGAGTCAAGAGAGTGTGTGAGGCTGTGGGGGGTGGGTGGCCGACAGAAACCAAAGCTGTAACTGAATTTCAGGAATTCTGTCATGATGTATTTGAATATGGGCAAGTTGAAACTGTCAGTGTGCAGTGGCGAGGCCAGAGATTGTATCAGGGTGGACGTGGCCACCACTGGTCTCCCTTCTTGGTGAGCTGCCGGTGAGAGGTGGGACAACTGGAACACAGGTGGACAGGACCATAACATTAATGACCATATTAACACAGCCTGTACCAAGGGGTGAATGTCGCACCGTTATTCCGCTCTGCCATTCAGTTCAAGGTACCATCATGAAACAGGGGACAGAGTTGTACTGCCTTGAAGCCGACAGTGGAGGAAGTAACAGCGCTGAATTACCATCTGTGTAAAGGGACAGCTGGCAGGATGTGACATGCGGCTAGCAGCAGTTAGCAGCTAACTCGAGGACAAAAACAGTAAGTGAAAATGTCTCTAAACTGGGGAGACAATAAGGTGAGGGAGCTCCTTCACCTTCAAGCAGAGGAGGAGATCAGCGGCCATATAACAGGGATGGTAAATGATTGTATTGTTTGTCCATTGTTTTCAATATAGATGCACAGCAGGCGCACTCAAACAGCAGAGTGATGCCAGAGCGATTTGAGGGTGCAAAAAACACAGCATGTGCACGGCCCCCTGTTGCTGCTGTTGTTTGGTACTCAGTAAAACATCAAAGCCGCCGTAATGAAGAGTCTTTGCTGGCGCCCTATCATGTGATCTCTGTAACAAGGGCACTAAAAATTATATTTTACAAAGACTCATCCTCACAAAGTTTTTCCACATGGTGGAAAAACTTTGTGAGGTTGAGTCTTCCACTTTTCCACTCCACTTCCACTCTTTTATGTGGTAGTTGTCCCTACCACATAAAATTATATTTTACAAAGACTCATCCTCACAAAGATTTTCCACATGGTGGAAAAACTTTTGGATGATGGAATTCTTATGACCGTCTGAAATTTAATTGAACTATGACAAAATATATTAAGATAAAGACCAAACACAACGTCACATAATTTAATTAATCTGTTGGGACAAAAATAAAGTTCAACAGGACCTGTGGTGTGTTCGGGTGTGTGTTCGAGCAGACGTAGCTCCATTCATAAACATGAGTCCTTTTCAGTGTTCATACATTTCTGTGTTGTTACAGTGAAAAGGATCCCGGCCTAACGACATACACTCCAGCTCACATGTCTGCTCCTGCCAGTTCACTTCTTTCACAGCCTGCAGTTTCACAGGCCTCCTCCTGCCTACTTTTGTGTGAGGTCATTGAGATGCAGCACCGGGCTCGATGGCAGCTCAAACAGCCGCAGTGACTGACACCGGGGATGTGGACGGGGCCGTATCCTCAGTAAGGACTAAGGGAAGCTTGGCACCTGGCGGGCTGAGCCACTACCCTCCATCTCCTTTCACTGCTGAGGATAAAAGACATGAGCGAGGCCCATCACCCCCGAGCCCCCTTCTATTCACTGCTGTTATTCTGCCTCAGTCGCCCTCAGCTCCTCCACCACCCGTTCCCATCCCCGAACCGTTCCAGGGGAAGAAAGCAGCTGAGAGAAGAGCACGGGGGGCTTTGGGGGAAGAATTCCACCACGCTGAAGCTCTCTGTGTGACAGCATGTATGAAGCTGCCCCTGGTGAACATTTCTCAATGGATCCTGGACTCAATACAAATCTGAACTGAGGCCTGTGAAGAATACAAAGTGACCACCAGAGAAAGGTCCGTGCAAAACTCAAGGCAATTAAGATGTAGCATCATCCTGCATCACCTGACCTCTGCTTCTGTTCAGAGAGAGCTGAGAAAGCATCCTGGCTGGGTGAACGCAGCTGGAGCTCACAGACACAAGTCTTCAAACATATAACATAATCCACATGTACAAGACGCACTCTTACTGCTCCTTTCCATCTCATCCATCTGTGCATCATCCAGAAATCCTGCCTGAAGATAACAACAGAGCTGATACTCAGGTCGGGAGCTCAGAAAAATCACAAAGTGAATTTAGTTTAGACTGGCTCTCTTGGCCTCACTAGCCCTAATATCGGTGAACCTAGCCCCTTTTACGCTGCCTGTTCAAGGCAGGAATATCACTCTGTTGCACCGCCTCACGAGATCGGCTGCCACTGAACAGGGACACTAAATGATTATTATTGACACGTTAAAGCCGTTGTTGTTGTTTAGAAAGTGCTGCTGATGTATATGTTATATGTCACACTAGAGGGCGACACTGTCGTGTTACACGTCACCCCCGTCACGGCTCTTTGGCTTCCAGAACGCCGGCCTGCTGTCTAAAGGGTTGGACACATGCTGCGTCTTTTGCACCTTTAAATCTATTGTTTTCATTGTAGACGTGCAGCAGGTGCGTTCAAACAGCAGAGTAACGCCAGAACATCGTGCACGCATTCCTGAGTGTCTATTTTTCAGGTTGATATCTGTGGAGACGTCAGGTTATTGTGGCACCAGACAATAATATTCTGTCAGCCGGACACCGAGCTGAGAACTGTTTCTGACTGTGCTGCTTAAAACCACAGGTCCCTTTGGAGAAAAGAATCAGCTGAGCAGAAGTAATGGTATCATTACTTTAGATTTTCACCACCTCTGGATATCACTACCTCCTCTGCCTTCATCTGAGCAGTGTTAATGTGGGCATGTTGCTGCAGGTAGCAGTTTGAGTAACACAAAAGCCTGAAGGCTCATCCGACACCAAAACATAGCACAGCTGTTTGTAATAATGAGTCAGTTTCCATGAGTCTGGGAAAATATCAGAGGAGAAATCGACTTCATCGCCGGTCCTGATGACTGTGAGGCAGAAAGTCAGCCAGGTTCAACACTGTTGCTGAACTGCTGATGGTGTGAACGCAGCCTGAGGACAGTGATGGGGAGACTGAAAGTGTTTCCCAGAGCTGAATCTGCTGCTGACTGAAGCCAGCTGAGATGCAAGACAGCAAATATTCAACCGTCTCTGCCAACAGAGCTGTGTGATGATAATTGGGTCCTTCCTCCTCTCAGATCAAGATAAGAGTTATCAAGACGTTCAAATACAACTTACAGATCAGGGAAAGTACACATGAAGGGAACAACACGCACATTGGTTCAGACTGGGAGAGAATATAAATGTAGTGTCCTGAAGTGAACCTCACACAGTCTCACTGTGACTTTCACTACTGTGTCTTCACTTCCTCTCAGGTGCTAACACCTTCTCTGTGGTTACCATGAGGTGAAACATAACCTGCCCTCCCCTTTAATATCACTTTGAGTTCATCAGACAGGAAGTCCCTCTATAAGGATCCAAAGGTCACACGGTGTTTGTCTGAGTGGCCAAGTCACACTGCGCTCTCTTTAGTCACTGACTGGGATTATTTTATCACTCTGAGCAGAGCAGGAGGATTAATGCTGGACGACACGACCTGAAATATATTTTAGAATGAATTTCAAATTTAACGAAAAATATAATATTACCTATTTCTAAATTCATATAAAAATATTTAGAGAAAATCCCTGGAGCGGTGTGTCAGCCTCAATCTGTGCCGAGTGTGGCTGTATTCAGTTCAAGGTGCTGTGATGCCTTCATTTCTCTAAAGTGCAACTTTTCTAAAATGTTCCCAGATGTGAACAAAAACTTAAATGCAAAACACTTTTATTTGTTTTCCCCATTTTTCACGTTTCAGTTAAAGATCTGAGGCTTTTTTATGCACTCAATATTTACATCTCTGTCAATTGTTGGTGAATTTGGCAGTAATAATAATTGAAATAATAAACTTTATACTTTAACTTAAACAATAATCCTGGACCTAAACTCAAAGGTACAAGATTGATCCTTGTGTCAGCTCTGATTGATTCCTCTCCACTGCAGGAGTTGGACTCAGTGGCTGAGGTGATGCAACATGTCAGACTTGAGAAATAAAGATTTACAAAATGTGACTAATCTGATAACTTTGAGAGAATTTGGAGCCATTTATGTATTTCATAAGAGCTAAGCTTTAACTGTCCACCTTCCTAAATGGACTGATCTTGCAGGGTTTAACACACATTCATTTATTTGAGGCAGACTGCCACAATTTAAACATCTGCTGCTACTTTTTGATTTGCTATTTTTGGAGCTGGATCATTTATAGGTGTGCTGTTGGATATATATGTACTGTTCGGTTATTAGTTGCTGCACAGATGGAGCAGCAGAGCGGCAGGTCTAAAGATTTGCTTATACACACAAACAGCTGCTCCTGTCATCCATCAATCTGATCTGATCAGCTCTGATCTGATCGACTGAGCAATTATCCACCCGGCAACTCAAAACTCCTCAAACTGCTGCTGAGGGGAAAAAGACAAGTTCTGCTTGTGCTGCGTTCACGGACCTGCAAATACCTCTGAATTTAGAGAGGGGGCACAGACTAATACAAGGACACACAGGCAGACAAAAAAAGTCGCTTTTTTATATTTCCATGTATTTAGTTATTTGAATTGTATTTATTTATTAGTTTTTTATTTATGTCATGTATTCCACTGACGGTCTGTAACGTCTGGCAACTATCTGCCTTTATGTTCCACATGACTGAGCACTGCTGTGATTGTTAGAATGTAAAATCAATAAAGATATTTGAATGATAATTTAGGGTTTACAGGTATGAATGAGTTCACTGTGAGACTTTTACGACCTTTTAAAGACCACTTTAAATGAAAGTTAAGACCAAACTTGAGATGGAAACACACACCAAAAGTGAAAATATTCTCCTTACCATTAAACGCGTGCTTAACACAAAAAGAAAATGAACTAACAGGCAGGCTGCTGAGGCCTTAGTTTAACACTGCATGATCAGCGTCAGGTGTTGTGTTTCCCTCTTGTTAAAATGAAGTTCCCGTCGCTCCAACACCCGAAATTCTTATAGTGACGTGACTAATAAACATTTAAGACCCATCTTATCTTAATTCAAGACAATTAAATATATCTTAAGGACCTGTGGTCACCCTGAAGAAGAAGTGCAGCTCTGTAAAGCACAAATCTCTGTAAAGAAAAGGTCTGATCATTACAACAACCTTTGGCTGCGTCCTGACCCCTGACTGACACCTGACTGCCCTCTGCAGCCTTCACCTAGACAAAGAGATATCATTGAGTCTTGTGACAGACTCTCCAACAGTGAGGATCAGATCATTCTGTGTCCTCTCATCTGTTCTGTACTGTCTTCACCTGCATGATGAAGATCTGTACTGACACATATGAAGACTTTTTTTACTAAACCTCCTGAGCACAGCTGAAGTCGTTTCCATAGCAAAATATCTCTGCTGCGTACAAAACACTAACATGAAACGCAAAGTTTAAAGCTGCAGAAAAAAAATAGTTTCCTCTGTAACAATTACAACTCAACACTTAAACTTCCCATAACCCATAACTCAACCTCTCAGATCAACACCACATGCTGCAGGTCATGGAATTCACACAGAGACACCTTTTCTTTTACATCTGCACACATGAGGGGAATATGTGCGCCTGACAGTACCAACCTCAAAGATTTCTTACAGGAAATCACTACCTGCAACTGCTTGAATCAGCAACCTCTCAGATAGTAAAGTCTCAAACAAAGATTTCCACCTGCCCTCAGCTGTGCTACACACACTGCTCTGAATGTGTCATATAAAGGCGCCTGTTTTTGAATGTACTGATAATAATACAGGCAAAATTATTTACACAAAACAGCACCATTATTTACATTAAAAAGTCACATGAGTGTGTGATGGTTTTAAAGTAATCTGCTGTAGCTTAAACAGCTCGTGGGTCACAATCAAAAGCTGAATGTGTGTGACAGTTAACTTTCAGATGATCATCAACACAAGAAATCATCTCCTTAAAAAGGTAACGTCCGTATTTTTAAATCTGGACTCTATATTCTCATGTTTATGTGTCTAAGTGATTAATTGGAACAATTATTTTCATATTGGTCCACTACTGAGTGAGAGGGCTACAGCAGGAGCAGCAAAACCAGCTGCGATGTCACCACTCAGGGTACGTTTGCACCGTCAATTCAAGCTCTATCTCTGTAGGGATCCTCTCCATAATGTTGTCAGACACTTAGAATAACAATCTGAGCCACAGTGTTATAAAACGGTGCAGGTAAAAACAACAAGGCTGCTCATGACTCCTCAGTGACACAGGATGCATGAAACATTAATAATGTGAGGTGAGGTGGAGAGGGGAGCGTGCACAGGGACTCACAGTGTCTCCTATCTTCAAGTCGGCACACTTCCTGAGGCCTGGCAGCGGCTGTCCATCCTGGCAGGTGGCGGTGAAGGAAAGGCTGATGTCCTCTGGGTGATCCCACACTGACAGCTCCACTTTAGAGCGGATGTTCTGAGGAGAACACACCCGGGAGGACACAGAGACTGTTGGTACATGTCAATGACTCAGGGGTTTAAAACTTTTGTTGCGTGGTAAAATAAATCCTCCGAGGCTTCTCTGCAGCAGCGAACAGAGGATTTCGTGCACATGAACATTTTCCAGTGTCCTGAAATCAGAGCTGTGTTAATGCGATGCCTCCCACACACACATTTATATTAAAACCCACCTCAGTGTGTCCTATCAGGCTTGTAACTCTGGTTGAGTAACAGTGTGGAAAAGAGTGAAACATGGGGAATGTGTTGCCTTGGTTAGGCACATTTTTACAGTTAATCTCACCCATACCGCAGGCGCTGTGCACTGAGGCAGGTTGCATGTGTGTGGATGTGAAATACCACGGCTGTTTGCAATGCCAGCTGCGTGTGGCTCTGTGCAACATATGAAACCCGACCCCCAGTCAGTCATGCACATTTACTTGGATGTAACCGTGCCATGGATAAATCAGGACCGGGTGCGCTCATTCACTCTGTCTCACACACACTTACACTTTTCTGACCCTTCACACCATCACAGCGAGGAGCTGCTTCATGCCACCGTCAGGCTCAAGCAAAAAGGAGCTGGTGACATGACGTGACCTCACAGTGTTTGACAAAGCCTGTCCTGCACACGGAGCGGTGGATATAATGTGGCAGCTGGAATGTTAATAAGGCCGTGAGTCAAAGCACTTCATTCAGGCCAACTCCCACACACTGAGCGTGTCAAGTCGGCGTTTGAGACGTGACTCTGTCGCACAGAATACCCCGCCACGGGCCAAAACAAGATGCAGTTCCTCCTGACTGAGGCGAGGAAAAAAATCTGTACACCCACACAGGAAAACATTTAGGGAAAGGTTGACGACACGCAGTGCAGTTCTTTGGTTTCAGAAAACACATGAAAATAAATCTCATGAGACGGACAGCCAGAGGAGGCTTCAGACGGAGAGAGGAGGGACAGTCTAGAGAATTAATATTTCTGAAACTGTCTGCAGTCACAACTTATTAGTCCAAACTGCTGCAGTGAGATCTGCTGAGACTCAACACACCCTCATATAAAAACCTTTAATAAAGTGATATACCAGTCGTGACACGACCACAGACATGAGTGTACCACTGATCTCTGCATCTTCATTCCTTTGCTTTGGAGTCCATAACGTCTTTAAAGCAGAGACTAGTCGCTGGTTTTCACTGTTCAGGTTACAACAGATTACTTTGCCAATTCTCTGCATCTTCTGTTCAGAAATAGAAAAATGTTTAAAACAACAGCTGATCATAAATTGTATTGACACTACTTTGCATGAATTTATTTCTTTGGTTCCACTCATCAAGATTTGATTTTGAACTTTGAACTTATAATATTATTTTTACTAATTAAAGCTAGGGTAGGCAATTTGATTTTGGCGTAAAAAAATTCCATCATAAACTTGAGCATAATAATTCAAGTGGACTGAGAGACAACTAGACCTCTGCACCACCTCTTGGCTCTGTTTTTAGGCGTTGGACAATCTAGCCAGTGACAGGAGACTTTGGCCAATCACACGTCATTTCATAGAGTGGGGGTTCCTATTGGCTGTTCTACAAAAGCTGATGGGTGTCCTGTGTATGAAAGCCTGATTCAATGGTGGAGAATCCTGCTGAGAAAGTTGCTATTCCATCATTGGTAACAACAGTCTACACTACAGAGCAACAATCCGAAAAAGAAAGATGGACTGATCAAACAGAGAGCCTGACAATAAATGAACAGTTTACGTAGCTAACGTTAGCTAGAGCCTCAAATCACTATAAGTAAGTTTCCAGTCACAGTGAAGTGGAGCTCCCCGTCGCTTAAGACCACCTCGTCATGAGGAGAGCGGGCAACAACTCTTGAGACTGACCCCCAGTCAGCAGCCCCAGCAACCTGAATCCAGTAAGCCCCAGACTGAGCAGCCTCAACTCCTCGCCGGATCAGCAAACTTTCTGTTGCTGCTGTTACGCAGGTTAGACCTGGCGCTGCTGCTATCCAATAGCCTACTGTGACACCCGGCACTTGGGGGTTTGTTGGCAGGTTCCCAAGCTGCTTCCTGCTCTCCTCCCGGGGAATCACTCCACAGTGGCGGGGAGCGAGGTGGAGGGACCATAAGGCGACTAGCAGCTAATTCTCGTCTCATTTGTGGTCTGATAAACTGTGAGAGAGTGGCGAGGAGGGGTTGAATGAGCTGCAAACAACTCTGCAATGAAATGTGATTAAATAAATCAGTGTATGTGAAACACTGGGTTACTGTATGAAGCCCGTGCATATGCCTGTGGGTCTGGTGGGAGGGGCTTAGGACAAAGAGGTGGGAGTTGCAGGAGGAGGCTGAAGAAGATTTTTGCTGATCCCAGGTTTAACGAAACGTCCCAAAGCAGGGCAGCATTTAATAATTTCGATCATTCTAGAAATTGTTAGAAAACATTGAAAAATGTCCATCACAGATTCTTAGCTATACTGTGGCATCTTCTTTGTTTTGTCTGACCAACAGTCCAAACCTTAAAAATGTTTTCCAAGAAATCCTCACATTTGAGAGGCTGAACAAACGTGCACAGCATTTTTAAATAATCTAATTAGCTCCAAAGTCAGCTGTTGAACTCCCTGCGTCTCTCCCATCCTCTCCACTGAGATGAGAAATCCAGCTTGCGTGCAGCCACCCATGTCAGCTGGAGGCTCATTAAGAGTGTCACAGTAGTGGGAAGACTTTAAAGAATTTCCCTCCCGTTTCCTCACCCTCATCTTATCTTTCTTCTCAAACCCCTCTGTGTCGTTACTCAACTCTCACACACACGTACATAAACAGGAAACCACACACACTGACACTTTTCTTTACTCACATTATAAGCTGCCACGATGAGCTGAATTACATTCTTAGAGTCCTGGTCCAGGATTTCCACGGTGGTTCCAGGTATGAGTGCAGTAAAGTTCTTTGAAGGAAATAAGATACAGCATCAATTACATAAATATTTCATTAATAGGAAAAGTATGTGTCCTTTAAGATAAAAATCTACGTACCTTATAAATAACGTAGAGCCGTTTTGTCACAGCGAAGATGAGGAAGATGTTATTTTCTGCCAGTTTCTCCCCCAGAAGAGCCAGAGAGGGATAATCCTGTACAGAGAGGTGGCAAAGGGCATTATGGGTATTTTCCTCCACACATACTGTCTGTAGATAAAGTAGAGTTCAGTCAGGGAGCTCGCTAACGTATGTCGAAGTTCTTGTGTTTACATCGCTCTGCTGGCCCTCTGACACCAGACTAAAGGTTGATGTCCTTTAAGACGAGAGCTCATCTTCATCTTCTTCGGCATCAAGACAACGTTCCAGATCAAACTGTGAGATGTGGATATTTTCACTGGATGCAGCTCCGTTCCTACTGAGATTCTTATTTCAGATGGACAATGGAAAAGAAACAAACTCTGACATCCAGTGTTCTTACTCAAAAACAGAAATATGGAACAGTGTGTCCCTTGAATGATCTGTATCATGCATGATAAGACTGAGGTCAAAAATAAATCCTCTCCTTTCACAACAGAGTTTCTACACAGGATTTTTTTAAATTCTGCTTTTAGTGGAAAATAGACCAGAAAAACAAACGGAAAAATCAACCCAATCGCCTGAATAAATGCTGGCATTGTACTTTTCTGCAGACCCTGGATACATTACAGTTACAGGTTATTATGTGGTGGATACATTGAAACTTAACACTTTAACAATGCTGCGGTTAATGTGTGGTTAGGTTTAGGCACAAACCACTTAGTTATGGTTTAGGAAAGATCATGTTTTGGCATAAAAAACTGCTTTTGGGGGACAATCCCCAGTGAAAAAGCAAGAAGGTCTTTTCACGGCACTATCCTCGCTGGAAAAACACAGACAAGTCACTAAAAAAGAAAAGCCAAAGGAAACATAGTGAGAGTTTAACTTTAACTTTAAAAAGCCGCTGGAAACACAGCGAGGGATTCCTAAAAAAAACATCCATGCTTGGGGGCAGAAAAACCACTGGAAACACAGTCACTGGTCCCTAAAAATACCCTTGCTTGAGGATGAAAAAGCCACTTGAAAAAAACATTTTTATGGCTGTAAAGCTGCAGGAAACACAGCTAGGGATTCCTAAAAAACACTCAGGAGGCTAAAAAGCCGCTGGAAACACAGTGATGAATCCCTAAGAAACACCCACATTTGGCGACTGTAAATCTGGTGGAGACACAGTGATGAGTTCCTAAACAACACTCTCATTTGGGGGAGAAAAAAAACACTTAAAAAAAAGACCATGACTCACTAAAAAACCCATCATTAAGGGCAGAAAACCTGCTGGAAACACAGTGACACGTCCCTAACAAACACTCTTGTCTGACAGAGAAAAAGCCACTTGAAAGAGCCATGGGTCGCTAAAAAAAATACCATGATAAGGGTCTGAAAAGCTGCCGGAAACACAGTGACAGGTCACTAACAAACACCCATGTTTGAGGGCTGAAAAGCCGCTGCAAAAGTACCATGGGTCACTAAACAACAACCAGTTTTGTTGTTTGTCGGACTTGAATAGTGGTCTGCAGCTTGGCAGCCGTCTCGTCTAGATGTCCTGATGACAAAGTCAGCTCATACACTGCTGATGCTGATATGATCCGTATGAAACACACAAATGTTAAATATTTGTGGTTTGCAGAAATGTTCAATGCCACATGTTCTCCTGGTGACTCTGCTGTGGGAGCTCAGTGCTGTCCACATGATATTGATCCATGTTTACAGCATCAGTGCTCCGACATCTTCAGACACTGTGTAACTGCATCATGTGAGTAAAACTTTCTTTGTGAGCTTTTGCTGCATCCAACAAAAAAATCCACTGGCTCCTGATTGGCATTTACACTCAGATCAGATCAGATGGTACCAGCTGGAAGAGTCTGGTGGAAAATGTGGGCCAAAGTTCTCAAAGAGAAATCTTTGAACCTTTCTGACGTGTGTTGACAGGTCAGCAGTGCATAGTGTGGTTTTACTGGCAGCCTCCAGGTGTGGCCGTTTGCATTGGTCCTTCCCTCGGCAGCAACCACCGCAGACTGCTGCTATTAATAAGCATGTGTTCCTTTTCAAGTTGTCGGGTTAAATTAGTACTTTACTTCAGCTGAACTCACTCGAGTCTTTCTTTGACATAAAGACGGATTATCAAACACATCAGACACTGAATGCACTCAGATCCAGTAATCTGTGGTTTGACAGGAGCCAAGTGGAGCCAGAAATCCATAAAAGGTGAACAAGCAATCATACAAAGCTTTGTCATCAGAGAAGGAAGCAGGTTCAACGAATAACACAGACCTCTTAGTCATTCTTTGGGTAAACACTGAAAATTCCAGTGTCCATTCACAGCTGGGTTTTGTACGGAAAAGTACCTGAGCTTCATTCAGCTATGGGAACGTGTGTTACAGTGTGTGTGTGTGTGTGTGTGTGTGTGTGTTACAGTAAAGTCCAGGTTTGAACTCAGAGGATTAAAAGCTGCTGTAAGATCTACATAATTCCAGCTCATTCAAATGTTACACTGGTTAATGGATCATGTTGCTTAAATAACACTGCTCGTATTTCTCTCTTAAAGGGACAGTTCACCCCATAATCAAAAATACATAGTTTTCGTTTGACCTGTGGAGCTGTTTATCAGTCTAGATCAGGGGTGTCAAACTAATTTTAGTTCACAGGCCACATACAGTGTGATTGATCGCAGGTGGGCCTGACCAGTGAAACCATTGCATAATATCCTAAAAATAACAAACACCTCCAATTTCCCCTTTTTTTTGGTTTAATTAAGTTAATTTAAAAAAATGCTAAACGCTGTAAACACACGCTGTGATGTTTTCAGAAGCATAAATGCAATTTCAACAGTTTTTCCACAGTCTACTACTCACTGCATTTTTCCATACATTTCCCCTCCTGTGTCGTGATCACCAAACTGAAGTGACAGAAAAGAGCTGTATTCTGGTCAGTATGGAAGGAGAGGATGAATGAAGAAAGCTACTCAGTGTTTAACTTGCTCCTGAAACCTGGCACCTCTTCGTCGTCACAAGTGCATCACTATTAGGTGTGTAGAGTCATCCAGTGGGCCGGACTGGACCCTGGGCCGTATGTTTGACACCTCTGATCTAGACAGTTTTGGTGTGAGCTGCAGAGTGTTGGAGATATGGGCCGTAGAGATGTCTGCCTTCTCTCCAGTATAACAGAACTAGATGACACTCAGCTTGTGGAGCTCAAAGTGGCAAAAAAACACACACAGACATCGACATAGAGAGTTTCATGCAGGAACTATTTTCTTTCTTCTTTCTTGCTCATGCACCTTCTTTGAAGTGCTTCGGTTGGCAGGTGTAGTTCAGTAGAAAGAAAATAGTTCCTACATGAAACTGCAGCAACAAGGTCTGTGGATTATCTTGAGTAACCAGGTCATGATTTCTGTAAAGAGCCACTGATGAGTGTCATCCTGTTCTGTTATACTGGAGAGAAATCAGACATCTCTACGGCCGATATCTCCAACACTCTGCAGCTCACACCTAAACTGTCTATACTGATAAACATTTTTTTAGCCTTTATTTGATAGGACAGACAAGCGTGAAAGGGGGAGAGAGAGGGGGAGTGACATGCAGCAAAGGGCCACAGGCTGGAGTCAAACCTGGGCCGCTGCGGCAACAGCCTTGTACATGGGGCGCCTGCTCTACCACTAAGCCACTGATGCCCCAGTGGAGGGGTCTTTAACCCACCTCTGATATTAAACATTGCTCTGTTTGAGAGTCAAATAACAGAGGGAGCAGCTCGTCTTACCATCTGTGTGGAGGCGCTGTACTCGTTCTTTTCATTGAGGTGACAGCGTCCATCGTGGGGCTGGACGAGGCCTCCCAGCCGGCCATCCAGGGCGAGGTGAGGCACGTCGTCTGTGGCGAACACCAGCAGGTGGTAGGCCTCCTTTCTCCAACCGATCTCCTCCTGTTTACAGCAGAGGAGACGTTTTATGTACCCTTCTTGTCTGTGCAGAGAATTTAATATAACCTTGGTACTATTATTATGTTTGATTATTAGCATCATACAAAAAAGATGATTTTGGTTAGTTGTTAGAGTCAGCATGTGAGGAGAGCATTCCAGCTACAGACGACAGAAACAACTGTTACATCCTCAATTCATCGTTTGGTCATTAAATGTCAGAAGAATAGTGGAACATGTCCTGTGTCTTTCTTTTAGCTCAAGGTGACGTCTTACAGTGGTGTTTTATTGAGTTTTATTCAGTTTATTATCATGCGTGATGAACAAAAGCATCAAATTCACACGTTGAAGAAGCAAATGTTTGACTTATTTGCCTACAAAATGACTGAAACAATTATTCACCTCATCAACTGTCTCTCAATCAACTCCTTCCAGCTCTCAACAACATAAACACATCAGTAAACGGCTTCATATTCTGGCTTCTACCGGCATTTAACTAAAACTCATCAATATTTTCCACAACTTGAAAACCACTGATGCAAACACACACACACACAGTGAGAGTGTATCAGCAGCCAGAGTTTTCTGCTGCAGGCTGGTTATCAATAGGAAACAACAGCCTACAGCAGAGTGAGCGTTTGACAGAGTGCTGACTAACGCACGCCGCTTCAGAAACATGACGTTTCAGCCACTGATGAGAGGGACTCTGTCATTCTTTTGTTCAATATGTCCCCTGAACCTTCTGTACAAAGGAGCCATGAATCATGCCCCCATCATAGGCCTCATTCAGCACCACAAATTTAAGTTGTGTGTGAGAAGGTTAAGTTTTATACACACCAATGACTATTTCCTGTTATTGAGGGAAGCAATTATGTTGCAAGGAGATAAAGTGGGTTCAACTCATGGACAAAGTATGTGCATTAAACATGTTTACTGAAAAGTTTTAAGCTCCAGTTAGAATGTTGACTTTCAAATACTGTGCAGTTTTGTTTTTTCATGTCTATTCATTCTGTTGAAACCCTGTTTTTATCTGCACAGTTGCAGATAAAGATTACGCCACACTAATATTATCAGTATTATTCTATTTGTAGAGTTAGATTCCAAACATTTCAAGTAACTCCAGAGTGTTGTCAAGTCCAAAAGTCAAAGTTAATTGCTATCAAAATATTCTGCTTTAGTCCATATCTGTTAAGCCTTTTGTAACAACATTTTCACTGCGGTAAAAACAAAACAAACTTTGCTCTCCAGCTTGTTCTACACAAAAGGTAAACACGCACCTGTGTTAATGAGCCGGTCTAACAGCACCATTAATTACCAAAGAACATCGATTTAATGACAAAAAAGGACTAGCTCACTTTAACTGATGATTTTGTTCAACTTTTTTTAGGATGACAGACAGACATTCGAAGCTTAAAACAAAAACCTCAACAGAGGCTTCAAATATAAAACTAGAATTACAGCCTTGAGGCTATAACCCTCCTCAAAACCAGTCAAGTTGCAGTTACAGTTTACATCCATGTCTGTCCAGACTCATATGGAGCCATGACAGTAGATGATGCTTCAAATATGGACGCTGCTGCAAAGAAGCTACTAGTTCTAAAACATGGACGATTCACACACGTCTTCAACACAACAGCACAGATGGTCTGTAAAATCAGCACAGCTTCAAGGTCGACACCCAAGATTAGTGGACCAAATGTCTGTTTTGTCATGAGGGCATATGAATCCTTGAGTTATGGCCAAAATCATTTCTTGTGAGGTCACAGTGACCTTTGACCACCAAATTCTAATCAGCTCATCCTTCAGTCTGGGTAGACGTTTGTGCCAAATTTGAGAAAATCCCTCAAGGGATGTGGCAGCCCTCACCTCAGAGTTTCATCTCCCCATAGGAAATATTAAATATATCCCCCAAGCTGTCAGAGCTGTTCAATCTAAATTACACACCATTATTCAAATCAATACAAAATGACCTCAATCGTTGGACAAAACTACCCATTTCACTTTCAGAAAGAATTTCAACAATAAAAATGTCAGTCCTCCCAAAAAATAATTATTTATTTGCTATGATCCCTACCTTTCCAAATCCACCCTGGCTCAATTCTCTTAATACAGCAATATCACAGTTTTACTGGAAAAATAAAACACCCCGTATAAAGCTTAAAACATTACAGAAACCCAAAACTCAGGGAGGATTAGAAGCACCAAACTTTGAACTTTATCATCTGTCAAGTCAGTTAAAATACTTAAAACAATGGCTCACCCCTCAGATTTTGATTCACACTGGTTAGAAACTGAGCAGGCACTATGCATCACTATAAATCTTTCAGATCTCAAACAATGAAATATCACACCTGTTTTCAAAGTATTTCCACAGCCTCAGCTCTGACAGCTTGGTGGAAAATTTTCTGCATTAAAAGCTCCACAGTTGCACCATCCATTCATCCACCATCATGGGACAACCCAGATTTTACAATAAATAGAAAACCATTAAACTTCACATCATGGAAAGATAAAGGTATCACACATCTCCACCATATCATTCAGGAATCCAAAATTATCAGTTTTCAACAATTAAGCCAGACATTCAGCATCAGTAATAATCAATACCTCCAGTATTTACAGCTTAAGTCGAACATTCTCCCAAAACTTAACAATACATTCAGTACTCAGGATCAAACCACTGTCATAGACGATTTTGTAAAGATTTCTGGCTCTAACAAATTATTCTCAAAGATATATAGATTTCTAATCAATACCAACACTTCTATTTCTCTCCCAGTTTCAAAGTGGGAACAGGATCTCTCCATCACTCCCAACTCAGACTTCTGGCACCAAATCTGCAAAAATAACTTCACTCATTGTAAAATCCCAAATCTACAGCTCATTCAATTCAAGGTTAACCACAGGACACATTATACAGGAGACAGGTTACATAAAATGGGATTCAGTACATCAGACCAATGCACTCATTGCACACAAAACACCACCGACAACTATATACACGCTTTCTGGTATTGCACATCAGTTAGGCAATTTTGGGTTCAAGTCACAGATCACTTATTACACACATTGAGCTGCCACATCCCTCTATCCCCCCAACTCTGCATCTTAGGAGACATGTCAACTCTACAACTAAATAATCGTATCAAACTACACTGTTCACAGCCCTAGCTGTTGCCAAGAAAACTATCCTCCTAAACTGGAAAACAAGAAATCAACTGAACATAACCCACTGGAAGAACTTATTAATAGATCAAATTTCAATTGAAAAAATGTCTGCATCAGTTAATCACAACATACCCCGTTCCAACAAAATCTGGTCCTCATTTATCAACAAATTGATTTCTATAGATGCCTGACTCCCTTTTCACAGCACCACACAATCCATAGCATCTTCGGTACATGAACCTACACTGATTACATTATTTCTAACATAAACAGATAATACATTTGTAAGATGTTTTTTTATTTTTTTTATTTATTTTATTTTTTTTTTTTCTCCTTACTATTGTTGTTTAGATTTGTGATGATTTTAAACTTAACCCTTGTAGTTTAAGTTTTCTTTGTACAGGATTATTTGTACAGGGTATTTTGTATATTGTATTGGTTTGTAAGTTTATTCTATTTTGTTTAGAGTTGTGATTATTTTGAACTTAATTCTGTAGGATAGGTTGTACTTGTTTTTGTATAGGGTATTTGTATATTGTATTTTTATAGGATTGTGATTGTGTATGTTGTATTTGTTTAAAAGCCCAACTAGGGACAGGAGTTGGAAATTAGCTGTAGCTATAACTCTATATGCAGCACATCAGATTCATGCTTTGTACTCAAACTATGTTAACTGCATTGTCCCTATAAAGTAAAAAAAAATAATAATAATAATACAAAACATAACTATATATGCTCACACACAAGTGCACACACACACACACACACACACACACACACACACACACACATCTCCTCACATGCATACAGCCTAACATGTCACTAATAAGTTTTTCTTTTTTTTTCTTTCCCTCTCATTCTGCCATGAATATAATTTTGTCCTATTCCCTTCCTCCCTCTTTTATATTCGATGTCTACTGTTGTTTTGTTTGCTTTGTGTTTGTTTTGTCTGTTTGTTTGCTTGCCTGTATATCTGATTGTCTGTTTGTTTGTTAATAAATTTAAAAAAAAAAAAAAAAAAAAATCCCTCAAGAGGTTTCGGAGATATTGGACTCATGAGAATGAGACAGCCACAAGATCACAGTGACCTTTGACCACCAAAATCTGATCACTTCATCCTTCAGTCCAAGTGGATGTTTGTGCCAAATTAGGGTTGCAACAGTATGAGATTTTCATGGTTTGATAATCATCTCAGAAAATATCACGGTTTCACAATATTGCATATTTTACATTAACATCAGTCAGAATGACCCTTAAAGGAATGAAAACAGAAGGGTTATTGTTGGTTGAACAAGCCTTCGACTGCCTTAATCTAATCAGTTCATCCTGACATCCAGGTGGACGTTTGTGCCACATTACAGGAAAATTCCCTGAAGGTGTTCTTGAGAGATACTGTTCACAGGAGTTAGACGGATGGACAGACAACCCAAAAAACATAATGCATCCAGCTATAGCTGTTGCCAACACGCACACATAAAAATGAACATCTGTGTGACAGTGAGTCAGCTTGTCTTTTTCTCAAATTAAGTAAGTACTTTTCTTTTTTTACACACAATAAATTAGTTTATTTTAAGTCATATTCACGTGATAACCTGCACATTAAACTCCTAAATGGACTTAGATTTAAAAATAAGACAGAGCCAGGATCAATGAGGGTTGTGGACGGACCCGGCCCTCCCTCCTGACCAGTGAGCGTTTGAAATAGTGCAGCATGAGTAAATTACAAGGCAGGAGCTGCTCGCAGGGAGTCATTCTCTTCCTGTAGAAAACAATTAAATTGGGAGAGGAAAACAGGGATATGACCGGGCCTGCGAGTGACTTGTCCTCATGTTTAACCAGCTGCACCAGACTGCACTTCCTGTCCATCCCCCCGGTGCTTTTAATTAACAGGCAAATAGGCCAGACGCTTGTCACGGGGGTATCTCTGTAGTTCCACAGCGGCTTCCCCCTCCGTCTGAACCTAACGTGTGCTGTCACTCAGCACAGCCGAGTCAGGGAGCAGTCGAGGAATCTCAAAATAAAGACCCCTCAGTAGCTGATGGATGTCAGCGTCTATAAGAACAGAGATTAAGAAATGAGACACGTCACCTTACAAACAGCAGCCTGCAGGATGGCATCAAATCCGCCCTCTGGTGCATCCCGGTTGCGAGACACCATCTGCTTCTGCACCTCCTCGTTAAAGCGGTCCACTTTGTCCGTCAGTGAGAGGATGTGGCGGAAACCGAAGGTAGGGACGCAGTTGGGGAACAGTTTGTATCTGTGCAGGGTGACGCAGAGGTAGAGATCAGGATGTTTGGATCAGGACAATATGCAAAGCAGCACAAAGGTTCAGCCTCCATCTACAGAAGTCTTTTAAACTGTATGCACTGTTTTCTTTTTTGTGTCATTTTGGTTTTTTTGTTCTTTGTTGGATTTTAGGCAGCCTTGCGTTACATCTTAGCCGAGGGAGTACGGATGAAAAATAGCCTCTTGGCTGATTCTTGCATTTTTATACCATGTGTATTTATTAATTTACACTGACCTTTCTTAAATAAACTAAAATAAATCTGTCTCTGTTTATCTTTGCTATTTATTTACACCACCGTGATGAAGCTGACTTGATCTGTATAACATTCATTAAAACGTTGCATCAGTCCAAGCAGCGTTATTTTAAAGTATCACCAACAGCTAATATTTCTTCGATAGCGACGTAAAATGTAACACTGGGTATTCTTAAAGGAATACTTCACCTCTAAAGTAAACATTTGTTTATCGATTACTCACCCTGTGTTGAATTTGTGTACAAAACTTTTTCACATGCCTCCACCTAGAACGTAGAATCCACAAACAAAGAAAGCTCTTGATAATTAGCAATTATCAATCAAAATATCCATTTACAAACTCTCACACAGCTCGTGCAGTATAATCCAAGTCTCATTTATCCAGTCGTATCCTCAGTTTCTTCTCAAACACATGCATTTTTATGAAAACGTTAGTATTTAAAACTGAACTCAAAGTGAAACGTATCTCTGCTCTCTTCAGAGCCAGACTCCATTAACACTGCTCTACCACTGCATCCATCGGTTAGTTAGTTTGTGTTGTGTTGTGAGTTAAAACTACTGATTTTGTCAGGGGAGTCTGGCTTTGAAGAGAGCATAGGTATAGCCCCTTTTACCACTGGACAAAATAACCCACTAACACCCGCTGACATCTGCTTTTGTGCTTGGGTTACAATCTGTATCCACTCTCTGGACAAATGACTCTGCGGTAGTCACAGGTACTTATCGGCTCCAGCTCCGATCAGCAGTGATGGAAATATGACACCCGGCTGGACGCACTCATTTTAGCTTCCTTTGCCGGTGTGATGCAGTGACAGTCTGCTCCAAATACTGCCGGTCTCTGTCTGAGCAGCGTTCAAAATAATTCAAAATTTAGTCAGAACTGGGTTTGAAAGAGACTAAATAAGTTACAATTTTTAAGTGGCCTCCGTGCTGCTGTCAACTGTTTTCCAACCAGTGATACTGACCGTGATGCACCAGAAAAAACAGAAACTTAAAGGCATTTTCATCAGCTGCAGATCGTTGTTCATAGGTCTGGTCAGCTGGCACTAGGAAAATGTCTACCACCTATTTTTAACTACATACACGTGCTAATTTTCATAGGAAGGCTTCAAGTTTCACTTCCATTTCAGTTTTAAATATAACAGTTTTACTGAGAATGCATGTTTGGAAGTGCTGAGCGCAGGACTAGATAAATGAGACTCAGATTAAACTAGACAAGTTGTGTGAGTTTGTAAGTCGATGTTTTGATATAGTTTCGCTGTTGTTAATTGTGGACCCTAATGACATCAAGAACTTCCTGGGTTTTTGGATTCTTCGTCCACCATGGAGACGTGAAAAATCCTTTTTCTATAGCACAGACACGTACCAGTATAGTTTTGCTGTTGTTAAACGTGGCGGTCATTTTAGGACGACGTATTCCTTTAAAGCCCCGACCGATCTGAATGTAGGCCGCGCTCTCGTCTTGTATAAACGGGATGAGCAACAGCAGAAGAGAAGCTGGGTTGGTTAGGGGTCAAAGTGCTGTCATCTATCTCTTTTAATATTTCCCTGCCGTGCTTCACTGTGTGTGACTGACACACACACATGCATGCACCCGACCAAAGCCATAACCTAGATGGGAAGTGATGCGCGATGGAGGGCGCTGAGTTAGTGCAGTGCAGCCTCACCTCAGGGGCGAACATCGTGTGCCGCAGCTTTTCAGCCTCTATCTGTTCTGCTCCCTTTCAGTTCGCCCTCATCAACAAACAATGAGGAGCGGCGAGGAGAGGGGCCATTTTGAAGAACTGTTTATTCACTCTGCTTTATCGAACACGGAAAAATCTCCCGTCCTGCATCTGCAGGATCTCTGACCATGCATGATTCATGAATGTGCAAAAATAGACTGTGTGGGTTTGAGTAAATTATTATTTCAGGATTTCTCTTCCTGGCCCGTTAAAGTCACAAGAGAACAGTTCTTAAGACCAACCTCACATACAGTCCTGTTGGCAGAGCTACATTTACACTGAGCTAACATACTGTATGTATCTGTATTTGAATGCAAACGTCGTAACAGCACCGTCCTCTTTAAACCTGCAGTAAACCCTGCTGCCTCCACCCACCCATTGCATGGATTCTCCTGATACTTGGGTGCTGTGTAGGAGAAGGGCGACATGTTTTTGTCCACGAAGGAACCGAAGCCCAGCCTGAAGTTGCTGGTGAGCTTGCCCATCTCCAGGGCCAGTTTGGTGCCCAGGTTACGGATGGTTTCCAGATCATCTTTCATGGAAAGAGAGAGGTCCATCAGGTAGTAGAGATCCACTGGGTAGTCCTCCACCTGCCGCACCTGCAGCCCAAACCACGTCTGGGCTCCTGGATGGAAAGGATAGAGGAATTGGTTAGCTGGTGTACTCAGGAAAACAAACAAGAGTCAAGAAGAGAAGAAAGGTGTTCCTTCTCTCACTACTCCTAACTTTAACTGTCTGTACATACCTGGCCGCAGGCTGAGGGAGATCTTCTGAGGCATGATCTGGACCACGTCATACTGGGACGACCCAGATCCTTTAGAGCTCAGAGGCCTGCTCTTCAGGATGGAGAGACTGCTGGTAGGGTACTCAACAAACCGCGCCTCGCAGCCCCTCTTATGCAGGTTTTGAATAAAATCGCAGCGTGACGTCAGAGTCCGCCCCCTCCCGAACTCCTGAAGGATGAAGAACCACAAACCTTTCATTACTGACTGTCATAAAAATATAAGGAGTTTAACTGTGATGACACGTATGGCATGAAATCATTGTTTTACCTCTGTGGAAACACTCTACCCAAGCACAGAGAAAATGTTGGTATTGTATGTTTCTGCAAACCACGAATGTTACATTTGCAGGTTATTATGAAGCAGGATACACTGAAACTTTGCATGACAACAATGCTGTGGTTAATGTTTGGTTAGGTTTAGGCACAAAAAACACCTGGTTATACTGTAGTTCAGAAAAGATCATGTTTTGGGTTAAGATACCTAACTATGGTGGCACAATCTCCTCTGAAAAAGCATCAATGTCTCTGTGAAAAAAATGTTTTTGTGCCACTATCACAGAATGTAAAGCAGCAAAGTCTCACAAAAAAGAACATTTTTTCTGCCACCCTCCTGGCAGGTAATGCAGCCATGTCTCAGTAAAAACAAATGCTTTTCGTGCTGCTCTCCCAGATGACAAAACAACAACATTTTGCTACAAAACACCCACGTTTGCTGCATAAAAAGCAGCTTGAAAAACAGTGATGGGTCGCCAAAACACAACAGGTTTTATGGTTTGTTGGTCTCACACAACGGTCTGCAGATTGGCGGGCGTCTAGCCTAGGTGTCATCCCCTCCACCTCCAGGTGACAAAGTCAGTTCACATAGTACGTCACTTTAGAAACACTGACATGATGTAGAGTGTCTACAGGTATAAGACACTTAAATTTAATGCTTTTTTTGGACCTTTTCTAGATCATTTTTTGGACAAATCATCTTTTCTTATTCAAGTATTGCATGCAAGTATAAATTTATGGTATACAATATTATGTTGTTCCCTGCAGAGGTAGGTCTTATGTAGGAATATGGTTATTAGAGTGAGTCATGTCAGTCTACATTTTGCCAACAGGTGAGTTCAAGTATAAAGTAAAGACACAGTATTAGTTTCAGTGGTTGGTTTAAAGGTTTGTAACATCAGAAATGTTGTTTATGCAAGAGCTTGAATCATGTTGACAAACACAAATAAAAAGATGGTTCATTTAAATGTTTGCTGCAATTAAAACCACACAGATTCAAATATAAACCTATTTATAAAACTGAATCTAAGACATTTTAAGGTCCTGCAGACACCCTGGTACCACACATGAAAATGTGACGTATTCTCGGTTTGCAGAAACATTAAACGCCAACATTCCCTCCTGGTGACGGAGCTGAAACACTCAACCTGCATCGTCAATGTTTAAATCTTGAGAATAACGCAGCAGGTGAGTTCTACCTCTTGTGCGCACCAGGCGCAGCTGGGGTGAATCAGGAGGCATTCTTCACATGACGTAGCGCTGCCGCTCATACACATGTTTAGACCTGAGAGAGGGTGGGAGGAGATCACAGACATATGGTTACAGTGCTGACAATAAAACTGGAAAAACAATCACTACTGTGTCGCTGCTGGGACTCAAACTGGGGACAGGATAAGAAACAAAAGCCCAAAGTGCAAAGCTGTGTGACACAGTACAACACTCACTCTGTGGTCAGTTTAGTTTAGGTAGGCAGTTTGTTACAGAGGCGTTTATTCAGCTTTATGCTGCATTAATTTGCATTGTATTTAAGATGTTTCTAGTGTTTCTATTTATCTGTGTCTGTCAGGATGAAGGTTTAGTTCTAACATTTGGAGGGATACATATGAAGACATTCCAGTTTATGCACCAGTTTATGGTGGAAATGTCTCACTCATTTCCATCCCACATAGTTTCTGTTTTATGGCAGATTTGTAACTGTTGCTTTTGAGGTTGCGCACTGTCACCAGCTACTTCACCCGAGGCACTGGTAAGTCTATGAGTCATGTTCTTACAGTTCATCGAAACAAAATAAGTCTTCTGCTTGTTTTTATCTTTTTAGTGGCAGGAACAAATGCACATGTTATTACTATAGAGGGGGATGTGTCCCCTGTGTCCCCTGTGACCCCCAAATCTGCAACCTAATAAAACAGATCCCTGAAAATAAAACATACCACTGATCTGACACAGTGCCAACTATTAAAGAATAGGCATATAATATATTAAAAACTAGGTGTGCATGACATTTTACAGGTGTTTCTGTGGTTCAGGTCAGTCAGTGTGAAGTGTGTTGACATGATGACATTTTCAGGATTCATATTCTTTTGGCCTAACCCTCTCACACAATCCTGCAGCCCAAAGAGCTTCACAGAGCCAACGACAAGAAGTTCAGTAAAAGCCAAGATAAGAAGATATCAGGGATGCACAATGGAGTCAGTGCGTCATCTCTGTCGGCAGATATGGGCTTTAAAATTAAAAAATTAAAATAAAGAAAATCAGAATCAGAATCAGCCAACATGCCTTTTTTTTGGAACACTGACAAAACACAACAAGGCTGCACTGGCTGTTGTGTGTTTGTGTCTGTGTGTCTATACTCTACAGGTCTGACAGGTGACAGGAAAAAGCAGAAGAAAGTATATTAAAACTAATCCTACCTTCACCCTGTTACCACTAACACCAATAATTGAATAATAATTAATAACAATACGGGCAGGGGAGTGTCCCCCCACCCACCATTTCTTATTTAGCACAATGACGGAATATTACAGACACTGAACAGTATTTCATGTCTCCATCTGCTGGTGGGCCGTCACCATAAGAGTCTGTGTGTATAATATGATGTTAATCCACTACAGAAGAGACTTGATGATCACTAACATCAGGAGGAGAAACAAGAGGATATATCTGCATCAGTTAACGGCCGAATTAGTTGTTTTATATTGGCAAAAAATCCAATATTGTGCATCTCTTAAAGATGTGTCCTAAAGTGTTTGGTGGAGACGGGCTTTCGAACACCAATCTGAGCCTGGCAGTGTTGGTGGACCTACGTTTATGATGCACAATTGCCCCAAGTGGTTACACTGCAGTCTGCTGCAGCGGTGTCACTAATACTGAACCAATTTCTCAAACTGTCGTTGCCATGAGTCACTAAGACACACAAACACGACAAATGGGGTCCAGGTTGAAAAATATCGAAGCTACCCTTTAAGGTTTCTTCTAAAAATGTCCACTGAGGTGGAGCTCTGGGGCTGCAGAGGCTGAACACTGGTCCCCCATGAGATGTTTGTTGAAATCCTTCCAGCAGAGGATGTGAGGGACCTGCTAGGTGCAGATCTCAGAGACAGGCTGGTGTCAGACCAAGGACCTGTGAGCCTGGCTGTGTTACAGACTGTTATATTACTCATTGATCTGTTGAGGGGTCTGACTGCAGAGTGAAACACACAGCCACCTCTCTCCTCTGTAAACAATCCGTAAACATAAACAACCTAATGTTGTCTTGTTTACTTTGCCTCCATGTGGCTCCAGTTTACAGCAGCTCCTCGTGTGTGAGCACCAAACACTGAGCCGCTGTGCACGGACAGGCTGATAGCAGATAACAGAGAAGTGATTGCAGAGCACAAGCGCGCTTTGTCCTACCTCTGGCAGGCTGCAGACATGTTTCCAGGAGCATGCAGCACAGAGCCGCTCTCCACATCCACGTCCCCGGGCTCCACATGGTGTCACTCAGCGCTTCGGCAAACACCAATCTGTATCTCTGTTCTGACACCGAGTTATTCCTCCACCATCAGACCTGTGTGACTGGAGTTAATCCTGCTGCATGTGTGTGAAGCACATTAGAGAACCACCCCGTTTACTCTCATGCTGAAGGATACATAGTTTCACAGCGCGCAGACAGGGAGCGCTCCTCTCAGCCCTGTTGATCCGAGTCTGGACTTTCTCTGTCGGGACGCCTCTCCAGCTCTCCACGTCCTAACTACTTCACCCATATCTGACAGCAACTCCAAAACTTCTCCATCGGTGTTTGTGGCTCTTCTCGGCCCGGTTCAGAACCAGGATCAGGATCAGGGTCGGTGCAGAGCTGCAGCCACAGAGGAAACACAAAGATCCAACAGATACATAAATGAGTCCGACAAAGATTTTTCTTGTCCAGATTTGAGTGTTGCCTTTTCGGTTTGTCCGGTTTGCGTCCCAGCTGGAGGCTCCGCCCATTCCCTACTGCGGATTACATTAACCCTTTGGTGGCTGTGTTGAACAGTTGGCACTCCGCTGTGGTTAACACCCGCTCGGCCCTGAGACACTGCAGCCGGAGGGGACACCTAGTGGTGGCTCTGAGGACTGGACCCGGAACTGAGGGGGGACATTTGTTGCATCAAAAGGTATTGAAGTACAGAACAGCTCATGGTGACGTGGTGCCATCTGTGAGGAGTCAGTGCACCATGTACAACCTGGTCCACAGGGTCAAAGGGAGCCGTGTTCACCTGGCTTTAACTTCTCAGCTGAAGATTCAACATGTGAAGTTTCTTCCCTCGGTCTCCTCTTGGTGGGCGGTGTGTCTGCAGTATCATCCAATTAAGATAAGATACACTTTATTAATCCCTGAGGGGAAATTCAATGTTTCCACTGTTATACACACACAGGCCTGAAATACACACGCACAAACAGAGCCTATACATGCATTACATGGAGAGATGTCAGAGTTGCTCGTGGAGAGGAGCCCTGAGCAGTTGGGGGTTCAGTGCTTTGCTCAAGGGCACATCAGCAGTGCCCAGGTGGTGAAATGGCACCTCTCCAGCAGCCAGTCCACACTCCATATTTGGAATGGAGACTTGAACCAGCAACCCAATGGCTCCCAACCCAAGTCCTTGGACTAAGCCAGTGGTTCCCAACTGGTAGCTTGTGGGTCTATTCTGCATGGACTGCAAACACACTTTATTTTTAAGTACAGTGAATTTCTGACACAAAGCTTTTACTTTTAAGAGCTGTTTCCTGCTGTAGAGCGAGTGACTAATGAACAGCTACTTCACAGAGACAGTAAACTGGCTTGACAACATGGCCAAACACAAGTATGAGGCTCAATGTGTTAAACTGTGTGGACATTGAACTACTGACTAAGGACGATCTGGACCCTGTGGCTGCACAAGTTTGGAGCCTCTGGACTAAGCTGCTGCCGCCCCACAATTAGGACTATCAAAGAAAGCTATCTTTACTTATCTGTATGTACGTATGCACCAATCAGCCACACATTAAAACTAGTGACAGGTAAAGTGAACATAATCGTTACAATGCAATGTCCTGGTGGGAAACCTTGGGTCCTGGTGTCCATGTGGACTTATCCATCCAAACACTGTTGCAGGAAGTACACCTCTCACTGAGCTCAAGACGTCTACCTGGCCTCTAAATTACCGAGATCCAAATCTGACCCCGGATCCACAGTGGGCCTCTCTGGGTTGCACTTGGCTCTGACCTGTCGAGGTATGGATAGTCACAGGACCTCTTGGGGTGTCCTGCGATGTCTGGATCCAGGGACCAAAGGTTTCTCAGCAGGACATTGTGCTTTAACAAGATCATCATTATTATTCACTTCACCTGTCAGCGATTAATGTTGTGACTGATCAGTAAATATATATCTTTAAGATCAAAACCACAACTTTTCTGTTTGTATTTTTAAATTGAACTTTAAGTATTTTCATTTATAATTCAATAACAATGCTGCAGTTTCACAGAGCTGTTTGCACATCTTTATTCTAGTAGATCTTTACTTATTGTACATTTGTTTGGTTTTCATTTTAACGCTTGCTTTGGCAATGTAAACATGTTTCCCATGCCAACACAGCTTCTTTGAACAACTGAAATGAAAAGCGCTTGAGTCAATGCTCACGACGACCACAACAAAGCTGAGGTAGAAAGTTTTTTAAACTAAGTCTTTTATTGACTGAATCCAAACTAAGCTGCTGCATATACAGCTGTGTGCAACTTAAAACAGTTTCAGAAATCTTTATAAACTTTAATTAAAAATAAGATTAAAATAATAAAATTTTCTTTAAAACTAATTTAACTGTCAGATAACTGACAGAGGAGGCGCTGTGTGAGGCCCTTCAACTTTCAATGTAACACTTACTGAACATCCAAAAGAAACTGCTCTCATCAACGATCTGATGCTACGATGGATTATAAACTACTCTTCAAACTCTTTTTAGATGAATAATTTCCCCATTTGTTCAAATATCTGAGGTGTAAAGAAAACTCTGAGGGGTTTAGATGCCGTTCTAACAAATCACTGCTAACAAAAAGAAACATTTTGAAGCCTCCTCATGACTGTGTGGCTCTCGCCGGCCTGGTCAGCAGCTCAGATATCATCTCTCTGATTGTGCGGAGGGGCAGGCCGCTGAGGACACCCTGGTGTTTGGCCTTCAGCTTGAGCAAAGCATCCACAATCCTCTGCCGTCCGACGTCTGGGTGGAGCTGTGTTAGCTCTGCCATCAGGGTCTCGAAGCTGCCCATGGTGCCGTAGTGTTGGGGCACGCAGATTCCCTTCGCTGTGGGCGAGATGCAGACCACCTTCCTGGTCTTGATGCTGGAGCTGAGCGGAGGCCGAGTTATCAGCTACAGAGACGACAGATAATTGAGTCAATCCCAAAACATAAAAACACGCACAGCTGTTTAAATGTTCAGGATTACGTAAAATGAATGATCAAGGCCATTATATTTTATTTTAAGGCTGCCACTCCTGATTACTGTCGGTGTCGTTTTCTTTATAAAAATGTCAGTTTTTGCTTGTTTTGTCTGAACAACAGTCCAAACGCTGAAGAGATTCATTTCACTCTTATATACGACAATGTCCACCAGTTTCTCTTCATAAAAAGACCTCATCCTCTTCCTCCTCATATTCTCACCTCTCTTTCGGAGCTGCTGGAGTGAGTGTTGGAGTTTTGTGGTTTGGCGGCCTCCTGTGAAGGCTCCGGCCCACTGACGGAGGCGGAGGCCTGGCTCTGGCTTCCATCACTGGCTCTGTTGATGTGCTTCACATGTAAAGTACGGCCTTCCATGCAGCAGCCATTCAGCTCTCTCACTGCAGCTTCGGCAGAGTGGACTCCACTTACTATCACTATGGCAACTCTGGAGAACGCAGCCAGCGAGACAGGCGGGTGTTACACTGACATTCATGTGTTGATTTGGGAAGCAAACTGCTGCTCAGACGGCTGTATGAAGAGTTTGACTGACTGATGCCGATGAATACGGACGTTAGACGTATTAAGACACAGTTACAGCTGAAGAACGGTCATGCTTCTACATGAAACAACAGATGAATCTGATACAGATGAGACTGACATCTGTTTTCACACATTACTTTGACTCAGACAGCAGAGCAGTCGCTCACCTCAAATCATTCTTTAAAGCCAAGATGCTGACCTCAGTGGGATGGTATTTCTCAAACCACTGCATCACATCACTCTGGCCAAGACAAAGTTTTAGTTAAAGCCTGTAGTGCCCTCTGCTGGCTGTAGCAGTACTGTACAAGGCATCACCATGACAACAAACTGCTATTAAAAATGTCCAACATATGAACTTATTCTCATGAGTAAGACTTTGAGACAGTAATGTTTATACAAACTCACCTCTGTCACATCTCTGGGTAGGTTGGAAACACACAGTACTGAGCTCTTCACCTCCTCACTGGCTGATTCTGTGGTTAAGAAAAATTCCTCACTAACGATTTCATCGAAAATGAAATCGAAAATCTCTACATATGCAGCTGTAATGCTTTACCTACACTCAGTGACCACTTACCGTTATCTTCAGCGTTCACTGCTGGGTCCTGTCCCGTGTCAGCAGCCTCCACAGGTCCTGCACACTCCAGGTCTTCTTCAGCATCGTACCACGCCTCAGATGTGTTGAGCTCTTTGCATTCAGCTTCTGTCCCATGAAGAAATGCAAATCTTTTTATTTAATCAGCTGCTTCAGGGAACTTGTTACAGAAAAATATCCCAACTGCTTGTCTTATCTTAAGATTCTATGATAGGAAAAATGTTATCTTCCTATTTCAGAAACAATTTCTAAACTCACAGCTGTGTGCCATCCTATCTCAGACCAAAGTGTAAATGTGATTCTTCAATCAGCACTCGTCCTGTCATGACTGTAGCAGTTCAGTTCAGTTTGGTCCACATTACAATGCTTACTTTTCCATTTCCACAGTGAAAAGTTGTGGATGGTACCAACAGAACCGTTCCTTCCTGTCCCCATGTTTGGTTTCCCCTCTGTTGGGGTACCTAGCACACAGATTTGGTACTAAAAGATGGAGCTGTGAACACTGCAGTCTGATTGTGAGTGGAGGACTGTCACTCTGCTCAGGGCTGAGTTGTGTCTGGTTTTGAAGCTCATGTAACCACTGTTCATACTGTGGCATATTTTACATATGTTAGAGAACTACAACTATACCATGAAAGGATGTTTTTCTTCCTCTTCATCTGAACCACTTAACAGCAAGCAGCCATAGACTAAAAAAATTGAATCAACCAGATTATGTGAACTGCCAATATTCCGGTTCCTCACTTAGAGAAAAAATTGGCAGAGCATCATTCTGGTGCACCTCTGCAGCACTAAACTCCTGCTCTTGCCTGAGAAAGACTAAATACACAAACCTGCATTGACAGAGACTCTCACTGCAGCCTGTTCGTTTTCTGAAAATGTCAGTGTGCCCACCCCGTTCTGTTGAGGACAAACGAGGTGCAGACTTCCATCCGCATCACCAGTGAAGAGCCAGACAGAGCAGTGAGTGACAACAACCATGCCTACATTGAAGAGTCCTGTCTGCAGTAGGAACGCTTAACGGAGCTATGGTCTAGGTACATGTTCATAGGGGTTACTTTTGGTTTTAAAAAGAACTAAAACAAAAGTTTTTGAAGGAAACGCAGCTTATGTTAGAACAGGTGGGCTACACGAGATCGACAACCATAATACCAATGGCTCTTACTTGTCAGTGGTGAGCTAGCTCCCCATCACGGACAAAAGACGGACATTCAGTTGTAGCAATGAGGAGCTGGAGTTGGTGGAGAAGAGGAAACCCAACCTTTTGAAAAGTTTTGGTAGTTTTCTTTAAAGTGTCACCATATGGTTTGAGTAGTCTTTAAATCGTTATATTTTGGTGTCCATGTTGTTCCCAGTCTTCACTGTCACTGCCATACAGACCTAACAACATTGCTGCTGCCATTTTTGGCAGTTATGCTGAATTTCAAACCAGGTCTGTGTGGACCATCCTATCTTAGGATTCCTAACTTGGGAAATCCCTAAAGTTAGGATGGCTCTGTAAAAGCTAAATTCCTTTTTGTCCTTCTTTTTTTATGTTCACAAACATGTTTCTGTAATCGCACAAATCCCAAATGTCATCCTAAACTGAGGTACGACAGGATTTCAGACTGAGGAAGTTTCTGTAATGAGGTGCCAGGTAATAATTACAAATGTGAGAGTGTGTTTGTTACTTGTCTGCTTTTCCTCTGGCTTGTCTGCTCTGTGTGTAGCATCTCTACCCTGAGGGATAAGAGTGACAGCTCTCCTCGATTTGCTCTCCTCCTTCTTGACCTGTTTGAAATGAGCCGAACACCAAAGCTGTTCAGACTGACAAGGACTTGATGCCACACTGGGATCAATAAGCAGCAATAAAGCACAGTAAGGGTTTGGTTTTAGTAGTACTCTTCTGTGACGTCTCAGTGTGTGAGCGTACCTGGCTGCCACTTCTGCTTTGGTTACAGGGACGTCTGTTTTCGTCACCTGATGTATCTTGTTTCTGTGGCTCCTGGGAGCTGCTTGGGATCAGACAAGACAACATTACAGCATCTCGAGAGTCTACTCTGATAAACCAGTGAAATTAAATCACATCAAACACACATGCGTGTCTTTTCTAACATACCAGGATGGAACAATCCCCAGCACATCACCTGTGGTCTAAACAGGGACAGAATTAGACTATTACTCTCACCACTGTGGTTAAAATATATCACAAATAATTTGAAGTATTCAGACAGTATTGGGTTAGTCGGCTGAGTCTCACCTGTGCAGGGGTGTAATTGGCTGCTGTGGTCACCTTCCCAAAATCAACAGTCAGAGGATTAAGTTGCTCCAGAGGAACTCCTGACAGGATCCTCTCTCTCATCTGATTAAAGTCAGCTTCCAGTTTCTGCAGAGCACTTACAATGTCCACAGCAGGGTTACCTGCCCTGCAGAGAAGGAGGAATAACTACGTAAATAACGGTCAGCCTTAAAGGGACAGTTCAGATTTTTTTGAGATAGGGCTGTATGGAGCACTGATCCACAGTCAGTGCTTATGCCCCGCCCACACACACACATTCTCATTGACTGATGAATTGGCGCTGGTTATTTATATTATTGTGGCGTATTGATTATGATCCATCTGATGCTGGTTTTGTTTCATCACTGTAGCCAGTATCTCACTATCACTATCCTCATTCAGATTTTAAGAAGCTACAAATTATATTCAGCCACAAAATAAGTCTGAAAAGCTGCAAATGAGATCAGAAGTACAGAGAGTTGTTGACTAGAGATGATACACCGTCTCATGGTGGTCACTTCCTTTGTTGCTGCCCCCGTCTACAGTACGTTGCAAACTCCAGCCTGCTTCTCTGAAGTGGGAGCGTGTCGACTGACTTTTTACTGTTGGTTTTAGACTGACTGTGGGTTAATACGTCACACAACCCCACTTGAAAAGGTCTGAACTACACCTTTAACAGTTGGAATTCCTTTTTTGTTGCTGATTTATATTATAAAAATACATCACGATGAATACATTAGAGAAGTGTCCCAGTGAAGGAGCACAGATAAACACCAGTCAAATGTGATCAATACTGATTGGTTATCTTTACTTTGGGTTGAGCTGGCCTCCATCAGCAGAGGTACAGCAGAGACTCCAGCAGTAGTGTCTGCACATGCTGTACTGCAGGGCCAGCAGGGACAGTTCTGCCTGCTGAGCACGGTGGACACAGTCACATTCCTTCCTCAACTGACAGCCAGAACTGGAAAGAAATACTGTCAAAGATTAGTCCTGTTGTTGGAAGAAATTCGTAACGTTAATGCAGGTCTGTGTGTATCTGAAACATTACCTTTCACGGTTCTCCTTTAGCGCTCTCAGTTCCTGCTGAGCCGTGCTGAGTTTGATAAATTCCTGAAATGTTAAAAGAGGTTGTTCAGTGTTTGCTGGCACTACGATAATGACTGCTCTTTGGATTCAACCTTACCTCTGCAAGATAGTCCAGATCTGCCATGTGGACTTCAGTGATGACATGCTTGTCAGCTGTTTCTGGATCATCTGTTTGGGTGACAGCTGACGTGCACAGTAGCGGCTCAGTGCTGACCATAATGTCACAGGTAGAAACGCAGGGCACAGGGGAGGTGTACCTTTCTGTAGTCTTCTTCTTGATGACAGTCTGATCAGACTTCAACATCTCACTGCCGGCTGCTTCACTATCCGCAGTGACTGGACCTGACTGAACCCCATTGTTACAAGCTTTCACATCTTTGCTGCTCACACAGACAACAATGCTCTTATCGTCCTCCATGATGCTGTGGAAGCTGTCCATGTGGTCTTCAAAAGTAAGGATACCTTCATCATTATCTTCAGTGTACTCATTACCATTAACCACGTAATCCTGACACCCCTCCACGGTGCTGTTTTCCTCAGCTGGGTCCAGAGGAGAGCTGACACTCTCGTCATTGTACTCAGCAGCATCCATGTGGTTACTGTCAAAGCTGCAGAACTCAAGAGATGAACCTTTTTCAGCTGTTGGCACTTCTGAGCTGCAACAAGAAACAATGACGCTCATATCATCAAGAATTCATACTGCACATCAAACACATAACAGTTCACCCGAAACAGTTTCATAAGGAAACAATACACTCAGGGGCCGTATCCACTGAAGCATTTCTTTCTGAGGCCGGCATATTCTTGCAATGCTCTGCAATATTAGCGCTGGGTATTCACACCGCGCTACAGTTGCCGGCAGTGACAAGGCAATGTGCACTGAATTCTGTGATGAGCGCCATCTGTTGGGCATTTTTATTCTGAGTGCCGAGCATTAAAAATGTTCAACTTTGGGTGAAAACACTGCGCTTGTTCATGCAACACAGCAGTTCATTCACAGTGCAGGAGACAAACTGTCATATCTTCCATGTATAGGTGCTGAGCAACAACACTGGGGGAGAATCTGTTCATGTACTGTATACACTATGTTTACTCCCATGAACCCACGCAGACCAATGGGTTTGTCCTCTCTGCCTGCAAGCTTCACCCTTACCTTCAACCAAAGTAAGTACTCTACCTTATGCTGACATCTTTATTTATGTGGAGATTCGTATCACAGCAACCAGAGCGTCTCAACTGAAAGACGCATGACTTAACTTTACAGACATGTAATAAGGGACATCTAAATGTATTCATATTAGCTCCTTAATTAACTGCAAGATATTTAACTACTAATGGACACACCGCAGTGAGGTGAAATATCTCTTGCAGCTAGATGCGGTTTGCCCTGGTTGATCTAAGGGTGCGTTCACACCTGCCCTGTTTGGTTCAGTTCAATCAAACTCAAGTTGGTTTGCCCCCTCAGTGCGGTTCATTTGGGCAGGTGTGAACACACCAAAACAACCGGACTGAGACCTTCTTGAAGAGGTGGTCTCAGTCCGGTTCCAAAGGAACTCTGGTGCGGTTGGTTTGTGGTGAGAAGGTGTTCCAACCTGGATGTGAAGCAACTGCAGTCACATGACACATTGTTTGGGTTAAACATGAGCATGTTACATGTTACTGGAGGATTATTAATGTGCACCTCCTCCTGTACTGCCTTAATATGCACATTCAGCACATCCAATGCATCAAAACATTGTTTTCTAGTTGGAGCCGCGCCTCGTTTTCAAACTGTATGGTTTGACTAAAATGAACAATGACAGCAATATAGTCCACGATGAGCAGCGCTAAAATCAACCTGCGTAGTTGTCCCTCCATTGTGACATTAGAAAGTGTCACATTTATCTTGCAAGTGTACTCTTCTTCAACGTTTGCTTTACTTCCTGGATTTTTCCCACATGGAAATTCTGACCAATCAAGAGCAGCTTTCTCACACAAGGCATTTGATCTGGTCCTCTTGTAAATGTTCCCGTGATAACACAAACCAACTCTAGGCAATTATACAACTTTGGAACAACATGAGTCCCTGATTCAGACCAAAGGAGACGACTCCAGGGCTGACAGCAGCCTAGGTAGAGTTATAGACTAGCTCTTAAATTGCTGAGTTACAATCAAAACTTCTAATAATTTCCAGATTTGCATTTATAAAATGTTATTTAACAAAGACTTTGGGCGGGGTTGAGCTGCAGGAAATGAACAAATCCTGTACTGTGTCAGCAATAAGATGCACACTCACTGTAAGGGACTGACTTCAGCATATCTGCATTCAGCACATTGGCACTGTGTCACTGCAGTCTGGCTCCTGAGCTCAGGCTGTCCTCCCTGTCTGCATCTCTCCAGCTCCACATCCAGAGAGAAGCTCACCAGGGCTGTTGGATCCTTCCTCACAGCTGCACTGCTGCTACAGCTCGCCATCTGCTGTGACGGCCTTGGTTCGTTCACATGGGTGGAACCCTTCAAAAACAAATCCTGTATTAACCCTTCCACCAAAAAAACGAAAACTTTGCTTTCACACTTTAGAAACAATTAAAGGCTACACCAGTGACATAACTAGCTGTTTAATATATATACAGAAAACTGTTCATACCCTCACTGAATGGGCTTTCTGATGGGTTCGTTCCTGTGTGACGGGGCTGACGTAGGTTGTTTGGATGTGGTCCTGCTGGTGGACTTGCTGTTTGGTGTGGTAGATTCCTTCATGTGGATGCGTTGGTGATCCATCCCCCCTGTTGCTCCGGCCAAGCAGGGTCAATGTCTCCCTCACTCTGGGAGGCACCTCCATGTCTGGATGTGTACGGGGTGTTTCTTATAAGAGGAGCAAATGAACAGAACTGTAAGATGAAGCTTTTTGAGTATGAAAGTCTGGCTTTACTGTTGATAGCTGACTGCTAAATATCTTGGACCACTAGATTACAGATTATTAAACTCAGTCCTTGACTAAAAAATGTCTCCAGAAGGTTATTCATCCAGGTAGTACAACGTCAAGACAATGATTTATTTACTGGACTGAAGTTTCAGACTTCAGTCACAGATTTCTGTTACAGTCAATCACAAGGCTCAGTTAAAGTCTGGAAAACTGGCTCTTTTTTTGTTCCAATTCTGTTGACATGCTTCTCACTGGTGCTCAAATTGATTCAGAGAAATTCAAAGCCAATGGATTTTTCCAGACAAAGCTTCTGTGTGTTGTGTCTGACGAGCTGATGATGTTACAGGAGCTTCAGTAGCTGTTCAGCCATCACCACCAGTACCAGAGACAAATTTATATCAAAGAATAATAATCAATAATGCCTTTAGAATCTCAGAAGTTCCTTGTTTCTCTTTTAAAAATCATATTAAGTGCAAAGATAAATAAATACATAGTATCACTGAGTTCCGCACATCTTTGCTCCTGACATTTCAGATCCTTGAACAGAGGTCTAACAACAAATCACTTTAAAATTAAAACCTTCACTCATTTGATGTGGCGTGTTATCAATCCACTGCACTCACTTTGTGACGTGCATACGACTGTTTAACGTCATGATTAGCTAAGCAGGCCTCGTAGTGTCGATGTTATCTGCACTGCTTGTGAATACTTGTGTTGTGGAAAACTGTAATCTGTGCACAGCTTTTAGAAGATAAGAGCATCTTAACAGACTTACTCCTCACATAAACATGATGCCTCGACAGTTCTAAGGCAGGATGTCTTTGCAGGAACTGGTTGAACCCTCCATCATCTAGCAGAAAGGAAAACAAAAACTGATATTAAGTGATGTTAAAACTAATATTATTCCTCCAATTTATTACACAATGGTGGGCACTGGCGCTAATAAAACATAATGGCTACAGGCGTCTCCCTCTTAATCATTTCTTTGCCAAATATTTTCAGCTTCCATTTAGAGGATGAAGAAAGGAAAAGGGAAGGAAACAGAGTCTAAAACAGTCTAAACAGGATAAGCCTCTCTGCTTCATTCTTCAACTCAAAATGAACAGCATAAGCAGCCCCACTGAAACGTACCTTGAATGATCCTTCTGTCCTCTGGACACAAACTGAGATACCAACCCAGCAGCCTGGGGTCAGTTAAGGCGAGGCAGATATGAGCATCCACCAAATCAAATACAGACCTGTAGAGTGCAGAACAACAGCTCCTGGTTATTCATAGTTATTCACGTTCATTAAACTGAACATGTAGAGAGAGCTCATGTAGCTGCATTACCTTACCTGTTCAGAAACAGTTTCCTTATCTCTGCTGTTGATGAAGAAACCACAGTTGGATTAATGACTGACATCCTGGGAAGTTATTCATAACAAGACATTACTGCTGAGAGTTTTATGTAAGTAATTAAATTTACAGCCCACTCAGAAACAGTATTAAACACTCAAAGCCTCTTGCAGCAGCACAAATGGTGTGACAAGTCAGAAACCAGTCACTTTGTAGGGGTTTAACGAGGGATGCACCATAATATCAGCAGTCAGATGGTCAGAATCAGCCAACATGCGTTTTCTTAATTTGCACAAGAATGAATATTAGATATATTTAAAAGTATTGCATTTAATGCAGAAAGCTGCCCTTCTACCTCACTTCTCTTTTAAAACTCTAATCCATCTCTCAGCACACACGCTCACAACAGTTTTTATCCTTTGAAACTCCTCAGATCATTTCAGAGCTCGGTAAATTAGCCTTTAGTTTTGCACCATATAAATGGAAAGTGTTACAACAGGTATTTAAATTAGACAGGTATGTGTCATTAGATCATTTCAAGTGCATGCTAAATGATACGGTTGTTTTACAGTGTTCCTGCTTTGGTTAAATGACAGCAAGATTGTCTACATTTTACTGTTTATATTGTTGTTGTTGTTGTGGTGGTGTATCCGTCCTTTACAGCAGACCCTATTCATATTAAAGATAGACCGATACATCGGCCAGCTGATATATCGGGCCGATATTTGAGTTTTTTTACTTGTATCGGCATCGGCCGATACGTGCGTGGGTTCGCAGATTTATTTTTCCCTGGCATGATTTACAGACAGGCATCCACAGGCAGCTCTGTGTCGCCAGAAGACCCTGCAGCGCACATGCAGCGAATCCTACTGTGTACAGTAGTTGTTGTTTTATTTATGCTTCAGCTTAAATATTTGTTTATTTTATAAAGACATTACTGGAAGATTTAAGAGCACTGAACTCTTTTTTTTTATTTGAATGTATAATAATAATAATAACATTCTACCTGTTCTACCTCAACTTTCCATCTTGTTTTAGTATTTTTTACTGTTCAATAAATGTTTCTTATTTTAAACTTGAGACCTGTAATATTTGTTATCATTGTGTCTTTTTTTGATGTAAATTGAGGGAGCAAAAGCAGTATCGGCCCCAAATATTGGCTCAAGAAAATCGGCAGTCCATAATCGGTCATCGGCTAAGGGTGATGGAAAAATATCGGTATCGGCATCAGCCCTAAAAAATCCGCATCGGTCTATCCCTAATTCATATTATTTAACTTTTCTTTTTTTTACTATTTATAATTCTTACTAGACTTTGCTGCTACTTATTTGTTTGTGTGGACTTTTTTCATCACTTTATATTGCAATTACATTACATACTTGTATCCTTCTGGCCCTTTGAATGTGAATGCAGGGCACTGCTGTAAAAGAGCTTAATGATCAGCCAATTTCCCTGAATAAACAATAGTTTGATTGATTGATTGATTGATTGATTGATTGATTGACTGATGTCTCCATCTGCTGGTGGGCCATCACAATAAAAGTATACAATATGATGTTAATTCCACTACAGAGGAGACCTGGTGATCACTAAATTATTATTGGTATCGGCTAGATGAGTTGTTAAATACTGACATATTGGATATCAGCAAAAAATCCAATATCGTGCATCCCTATATTTTGCCTAAATAAAGACACACATCCCACACATTTTCATTGACAATATTTCAACACTTTTCTATGAGTTTTCAAGGACCCATCATGATTTTTGTTTGGCGCACACAAAGGGAGAGAACAAATGTGGGCAGAAAATGAAAAAACATGGGTGATGATGAACAAAATGTTGTCACATCAAGGCATATTAGAGCTTCATTACCTCAACAGCTTTAAAAAATAAATTAACCCTTAATATATTACATTACATGGAAGATTATCCACATGAGATTTCTGTAGCAATTTCATTACACACTTTTCCAAAATGATTTTTACTAATTCCCTGACTTTTCCAGGCCTGGAAAATGTGACTGGCAATTTTCTATGATTGTCCCAGGTTTTCCATGACCGTGGAAACCCAGTAAAGATTAACCAACACCTCCTTTTTAATAACAGTGGTCACTTACTTGGACTCGGCCCTCCAATCACCATATTGTAATAACAGGGTAACGGCGCCACCGCGTATGGCAGCCTGTGAACGGTCTGCTCCTCCGGTAACGTGATGGGGAAAGCAGGCCACACTGTCTGAAACACAGCCATGGGTTGAGTGTGCGAAACTGTCCGAAAATCGGAATAAGCAGCCGTCGACCAGTGTGGCTCCATCACGACTGAAAAATTAACACCAGCCTTATTAACGATGAGCTAGCTTAACGGCTTGCCAGCTAATTAACGGTTAGCTAGCTTAACGGCTAACAGCAAATTAACGGTTAGCTAGCTTAACGTCTAGCCAGCTAATTAACGGTTAGCTAGCTTAACGGCTAACACTGTTAGCTATCTTAACGGCTAACAGTTAATTGACGGTTAGCTAGCTAACGTTAGCTCGATAAAGCAAAACGAATATCAAAAAACAAAAAGTAACAACGACATTAAACGTTTGTTACCTGCCGAGCTGCCATTTTCAGCGTCTTTGAAAAAATAAAATATATATTTAATGGCGGGTTTCAGTTGGTTTTAGTTGCAAACGTTTGGAGGTGGTGCCTGATGTTAGCTATCTGGGCCTGCAGTGGGTCAACCTGCTAATTAAATTAATTGGAAACTACAGTACAGTGAAGCGTTTAAAGGACCTGTCCACCCAAAATACCAAACAGTTTCCTAACATTATCCAACCTTATCCAACCAGCCCAAGTAACAAAGGACCCCCTGTTAGTAGGTAGTTGTTCAGTGTTTTTTTTTTGTTGTTTGTTTTGTTTTGTCTTTTTTGTATGACATGTAAATAATCCAAAATTTAAATAAAAACTTCAATGAATGAAACGGGTATTGTGCTGAGTAATTGATGCAACCATAACTTGGTTCAGGTTCGGTTTACTGATTTGCCCCCAAAGTAGATTTGGTTTGCAGTTAAAAGTACAACAGTCATCTCTTGACACAGTTCCAGACACCACAGACAACATATCCAACGATAAAAGTGCTCCAGGGCTAATTAAAATGTTAAATTAATACCAATAGAAACACTTAACTACACACAAGTCTACAACACAAGTCTTATGTTGCCCCTGTATGTTATTATCCAAGTGCAACATTGTTCATTGTTACTTTTTATACCGTTTTATATTTCATACATGTTTTTAAACGTATTATTGTTCTTATTGTACAGAACTATATTATTAATATCACTGTCACCTCCTGCCACTGTTGTAGCCTATGTAATAAGCATTTGAACTCAGAGCTGATATGAGCTGAACTCTGACACTGAGCATGTGACTTTACTGATGTGTCAAGGAGGAAGAATTAATCAAAGCTGTTTGGCTTTTTAAATTAAGAGTGTTGCACATTGAAATCATTAGCCAGACAGTATAATATTCTGTGTGGACCTACCCTTGGTAAACACCCGGCTGAATTAATAACAGACATGATACTGCAGAGTAGTGTCCACACAAATACACCTGTTACTATATCTGATTGAGGATGCACAACACAGCAAAAGCAGAAACTCCTGTCTAACTTCTTCTCCTGTTGATTTCCATCCACCCTCCTGTTCTTTACTTCAGCTCACACAGAGAACCATGCACTGAGGAGGAAGTTCACCAAATATAGCATTATTCAATATATTATGTTCTCTCAATTCAAGAGAGAGTCATATTTGAAAGTACAGTTTGGTTTTCGTTCACTGATTGCTACTGATCAACACCCCCGCGCTCCTTTCAAGGATCCTGCTGTTGTGGTTTTCTACCAACAGCCACAGGGAAGACAATTATGTAAGTTTGACGTCAACGTGTTTAAAATCCAGAGGATTAAATGTAGTGACTCTACTGTTGTTGTGCCACCAGGACATTTAAGTGCTACACTTTATTTTGTGCATTTCAGTTCAGCACCTTTATTGTCTTGGTGTGGAGATTCAATGTGCAGCTGCAGTGAAAATCACATATTACAACAGCTTCAGTTCTCGACTCCCACACTACACCCACCATTTACAGAAAAAACAAGAAAGACAGAAAGAAAGAAAGCTGCAGCCTGTGAAGAATTCTGCTGCAACACGGAACAGTTTGTCAGAGGATGTTTGACTGGGCAATGTTTTTTAGCTTGGTTTGTTGTTAATCAGCAATCTAGCTTTGTAGTTGTGTAACTAGTCTGATGGTTAGCCTGGGGGCCTGTTCCCTCAGACCTATGTTCCCTCAGCTCTATGTTCCCTCAGCCCTATGTTCCCTCAGCCCTATTAAATTAGGCCCTATGTTCCCTCAACCCTATGTTCCTTCAGCCCTATTAAATTAGGCCCTATGTTCCCTCAACCCTATGTTCCTTCAGCCCTATTAAATTAGGCCCTGTGTTCCCTCAGCCCTATTAAATTAGGCCCTATGTTCCCTCAACCCTATGTTCCTTCAGCCCTATTAAATTAGGCCCTATGTTCCCTCAACCCTATTAGATTAAGCCTTATATTCCCTCAGCCCTATTAAATTTGGCCCCATGTTCCCTTGGCCCTACATTCCCTCCGCCTTGTAAAATTAGGACCTACGTTCCCTCATCAGAAGAGCTGGCCCTCCCATAACTGGGTTAGGATTGCCATGTTAAATTCTGTTAGTACCTTTATATGTTGCTTACAGTATCAATAACAGACAGACGAACAAACAAACATTGGCACAGGCACTGATTTGAGGGAACACAGGGCTGAGACACCATAGAACTAAAGGAACATAAACACAGTCCTACTTTAGGCACTGCATAATTAACCTCACATTATTATTATTGTTATTATTGTTATTATTATTATTATTATTATTATTATTATTATTATTATTATTATTATCATCAGCAGTAAGGAGAAGCTAAAGTCTTGTTTCCATGTCAGCAGCCAACACAACACATGCTGCTTTGTTACAAGCTGAAATAAGTGTGAGAGAGCGTATTTAACTAGACTGGTGTATCAGCTCGTACATGCTGGTGTCAGAACTGTATACTACCACTATAGTCCATTTAGATGCTACACTGAGGAAGAGGAGGAATGTGTGATGATGGAAAGCCTCAACTTTAAGCCCTTTCATGGATGAGAAGTCCTTAAAGTGCTAAAAAAAATGATATTTGAACCTCCACAATTCAACTGGACAGACTCCTCCTGCAGAGGAAGATCAGGACTGTGTCCAACTTCTACCACATGGACTCTGTGGTGAGAAAGTTTCGTCAGCTCGTGTCTCCAGGGTCAGGGATGAACTTTGAGTCTCAGCATCAACGTCACTATTACAATGTATTTTTCAGCCTTTTACAAGCTGTTGTTCTCTCTCTGCTTCATCAGCATGTTAACAAACAACAAACACCTCCCTGACATCGTTACCACTGCTCCATGAAACCACATTATGTAAGGGAAGCAGCTCATTATCAAACCGTTTCCATGAGTAACGCTCTGCAGTGCTAATGAAACATTTTGGCATGTCACCTCAGATGTAGATTAGCTCAGAGACAAGAAAACAAGAGAACTTATCATGAGGTAGTTATGCTCACATAAATAAGTTTGTATGATCTTCAGGTTCACTTCAACAGGACTGAACAACACACCAGCTATTAATGACCTACCCATTCAGCCCTATACACAGTACAGTGAACAATCAATAGTCACTACGCCATCTAAGAACATGGGCGGATTAAGGGTCAGTGGGCCCCTGGGCACAGTCATACAGAGGGCCCTACCACCTCTCTCAGTTGTTTGGTGTCTCTTTGTAGTCAATTAAAGTCTCTTTGTAGTTGCTTGGTGTATTTTTGTAGTTGTTTGGCATCTGTAGTCATTGTGAGTCTGTAGTTGTTTGGCGTCTCTTTGTGGTCATTTTGAGACTTTTTGTAGTTGTTTGTTGTCTCTTTGTAGTCAATTAAAGTCTATTTGTAGTTGCTTGGTGTCTCTTTGCAGTCATTTTGAGTCTCTTTGTAGTTGTTTGCTGTCTCTTTGTAGTCAATTAAAGTATCTTGTTGTTGCTTGGTGTCTCTTTGTGGTCATTTTGAGTCTCTTTGTAGTTGTTTGCTGTCTCTTTGTAGTCAATTAAAGTCTCTTTGTAGTCAATTAAAGTCTCTTGTTGTTGCTTGGTGTCTCTTTGTGGTCATTTTGAGTCTCTTTGTAGTTGCTTGGTGTCTCTTTGTGGTCATTTTGAGTTTCTTTGTAGTTGTTTGGCATCTGTAGTCATTTTGAGTCTCTGTAGTTGTTTGGGATCTCTTTGTAGTTGTTTGGCGTCTCTTTGTGGTCATTTTGAGACTCTGTAGTTGTTTGGTGTCTCTTTGTAGTCATTTTGAGACTCTATGTAGTTGTCTGGCGTCTCTTTGTAGTCATTTAGAGACTCTATGTAATTGTCTGGCGTCTCTTTGTGGTCATTTTGAGACTCTATGTAGTTGTCTGGCATCTCTTTGTGGTCAATTAAAGTCTCATTGTAGTTGCTTGGTGTCTCTGTGGTCAATTCAAGTATCTTTGTAGTTGTTTGGTGTCTCTTTGTGGTCATTTTGAGACTCTGTAGTTGTTTGGTGTCTCTTTGTAGTCATTTTGAGACTCTATGTAGTTGTCTGGCGTCTCTTTGTGGTCATTTTGAGACTCTATGTAATTGTCTGGCGTCTCTTTGTGGTCATTTTGAGACTCTATGTAGTTGTCTGGCATCTCTTTGTGGTCAATTAAAGTCTCATTGTAGTTGCTTGGTGTCTCTGTGGTCAATTCAAGTATCTTTGTAGTTGTTTGGTGTCTCTTTGTGGTCATTTTGAGACTCTGTGTAGTTGTTTGGTGTCTCTTTGTGGTCATTTTGAGTCTCTGTAGTTGTTTGGTGTCTCTGTGGTCAATTCAAGTATCTTTGTAGTTGTTTGGTGTCTCTTTGTGGTCATTTTGAGACGCTGTAGTTTTCTGGTGTCTCTTTGTGGTCATTTTGAGACTCTGTAGTCAGTTTGAGTCTCTTTGTCGCTGTTTCAACTCTCCTTGTAGTCATTTTGAGTCTCTGGGTCCCTTTCCAACTGTTTTGCATCTCTTTGTAGTTGTTTTGTGCCTCCTTGTGTCTCACTGTGGTCACTTTGAGTCTCTGATCAGTATGTGTTAATCTGAGTAACATTTTCCAGGTGAGGGCCATGGGGGCCCCTGACATTTTGGGCCCTTAAATGGCTCATTAAACCATCCACAACAGGCATCGCACAGTATAATAGTGTTTCTTGATATCTTACAGTAACACAGTACACAGTGTAGTCTTGAAGAGAAGATTCTCTGAGTGATTCCAGTGCAGCTCTGGTGTCTTGTAGGTTTAATGCTGGGAAATCATCATGATTACAGGAAGTGCTGCAGAAATCAAACTCCATCATCTGATAATCTGA